TGTGCGGATTTCTTTGAAAATTTTAAGGAATTTGCTTCGCACTGTGCAAAAAATTCACTGAAATTTGCATGAAAATCCATACTACCGCTTTCACGTAACCAATTAAAACCACCCGAATAAATTTGGCAATAGCTGATGTAGCTTGGTTCTTTTTTGCATAACGCAGTCCATGTCGAGGTTGGGAACTCTGCCGCGCTAAGGAAGAACGCCGTATGAAAATTCGAGAGTTGCCAAATTTCCCTCGATAAAACATGTATTTTTGACAACATTTATGCATATTTTTCCTTGAAATTTTCAGATACTTTAGATTAAATTGCGTACAAAATTATCTGAAATTTTTTGAAAATAATATTCACAATTTTCCCGGTAATTTCGGTTTTTATCGGATGAAACCTGGCAACGTCTGGTGGATCATACGGCGATCTTCCGTAGCACGGCAGAACTGGTCTTGCGCCCGTAACTCGCGTCTGCGGTGAATTCAGCGACTGACACACGAGCATCAAAACAATATTGTCGTTATTGGCTGCTCGCCTATCAAACAAAGCAAACCGCTATTAAATTGACGCTGGCTGCTTTAATTTGATAACGCATCGTGTTCGCTTCGGTCGAGTAAAGTGTGAGTTTTACAGTAACGGCGCATACAGCCAGAGCCAATCAGTGCCGCGGAGATCTGAACTTGTTAAATTGATGAGCTCAGTTTGATTGTGACGGTAGCTTTTGAGTTTGGATCGCATCGCTGATCTGCGTCTATGATGTAAAGATTAAACATTTTGATTATATTCTTCCGAATGACCAGATGAGAAAGTAAAACTGCAGGAATAAACAAAAAATAAATGAATAATTAAACAAGAGGATTTAACATAAAAAAGCTGAAGAGGGCCAAATATCGACGTATACATTAGCCGAGAGTACATCGATTTTGATACTGAGCAGAAAAAGAACGGAAATCTTGGGTGCACGGTTGAATAATTTTGAAGGCGTGAAGATATCATTTTACGCCATTTTTGCCATAATAGATGTTTTAATTTGGAAAATTTGACTGAAAATGTCGACAATCACATCAAAAAATACCCTTTGACTCAAAGTTCAAAACAATCGATCGTACAGGAGCCGTTTTTCGAAGGACCAGTAGAACTCAACAAGGTGGTAGACGATACCGGTCACAATTTACATACGTTAGCGCGCCTTCATTTTCGTCTGATACTGTGCAATACTTCTGTGGTGAAATAGTTGCTCAGAGCGCCTTCAACAATATCGTTCCGGCTTGATGGCAGATGATTACGATTACCGCTGAAATCTCATCTGAGCGCGTGCGCAGTTACACATTTTTTTATCACCGACGGTGGGGTAAAAAACATTAATCCCTTAATTTACAACTTATTACTTTTTCCACCGCCTATTTCATATCGGATGAAACAAAATAATCACTTTAAAATCTGCCGTGATATTTTTCTGTAATCAAGTGCTGTCGTAAGTTTTCATCATACCGGTTATATATTTCATTATATACAATAGGATTTTCATCAAGTAGGATTCATATTTATACGTAGTCAGGTGAAAGATTAGATATTTCAATTGATCTCTATTCTTAAAGAATCTTAGATACCTTAAGCGGTTTAACCGATCTGGAGATAGATGCATTTAGAGAGCTGAGTCTCACATGTGAAAAAATGCTCGCCAAATGCAAATGAAGATTTCATGAGACTTCAATTCTCTCTCAAACGAACATGCTTCATCGGGCTACATCCGCACAATCTGAATTTTCAGGCATCATTCCGGGATTTGAATGGTGCTCGTTTCCAGCTACGCTTTATGGAATTCAATAGTTTAGGAGCGATGGTACACTCAGTTTGCTCAGTGCATCTTTTCGAGTAGGGGTGATTCTAATGGTAATAGACTCATTCCGTGACAATGGATGGGTTATCTTCAGTGGCGAGGCACGATGATCGATTATCGATTTCTCCCCATTTGAAGCTGTGGTAAAGAATCGATTATTAAGGTGTTCGTTGCAGACAATCTGTTTATCGATCCTTTTCCATAGCTTTAAACGGGAGATATATTGCAAAGCATACCACGGCACTGGTTTCATTGATCATTTATCCTTCCTGATCAATACAGAGCTCATTCGGATTGGCTTCTTCTGGAGAGGACAAATTACAAAATAGCCGTTGCCCGTTTATTTTTGTAATTTAATTATTCCGAGTAGAAAAATATGAACCGATTTACTTGGGTATTGGAGGGAATCGGCTTAATGAAGGGGAAAACACAAACATATTCTCAGGAACAGCACTAAAACTGGTTTTCAGCCGAACGAAGTAAGCCTTTGACTATGAAATTATCTCCTGAGTAATTTTTGACGATTAAAATGTACGGATTGATTTCTTTAGACGTTTTGTAGAATAGCTTCCATAGAGAAAATATATCAGTATAGTTAGTTTTTTATGCGAGCATTTGATTTTACAAAGCGAAAATGACTCCAATTATCTGATCGGCATTTACAGAAAATAATACGCTTTTTCGGTAAAAAGATGCAATAAACTTCAAATCACTACAAATTGCCGGCTTTATGCGCAATTATTAATATTCTGATGAATTTGGCAACGGCTATATTGCACGATAATTCCTCTCTGCTAATTGTGATCCGTTCACGGTAAACATGTTGGAAATCATGTGTTCCGTGTTAGTTTCAAAGCACAGACCAGCACAGACTATCTGCCTTAAATTTTTAATCCACTAACTGACTTTTATCGCCAAGAAAATGTATGTTTGTATGTTGCGTTAAATAATTTGACTGACTAAAATCATAAAATTCCGTTCTCTTGTGATTTTTGTAACAGGTCCTCCAGTCAAGGAAAATCCTTCGAAGTGACAAAATGTTAGGCAGCTTTAAGCTAGATGTGGCGACTGTCTGGGCTCAGACAGGTATAACCACTTCTTGCTACCTTCAGTTCATTGTAAGATCCTTTGTTACGTTTCGATACGTTTTAGAGATCGAATTTACCTCTTTCGCGGTATCTCAAGGCCAAAAATATATCTTAAAATAATACCCGTTCAGCAAGTGGTTTTTGCTAGCCATCACACGACGCTACGACTACAATGAAAATTTACCAAAGCGAATCTGCACTATACATACTTACAGAAAAATGCAATAGTCAATCAAATCAACTAATTATTTCTGAATCTCAAGTGGCCGTTTGTAAAATCACGGAAAACTAAATCACTCCGTCGCTAAAAGTTATGTAAAACTATATTTTACCATAAAATTCTGCATTTTAATAAAAATATGTGGTGTCCATTTGAATGTCGCGGCTTTTCGAGATTATTTTTTTCACAAATTTCTCAAGCTGAAAATACTTCAAATTTGCTCAGACATTTGATCAATTATTTACTTTCATAGATAGAATAGATTTTTAGCCGAACTTTATAGATCTTCAGAAAAGACCAAGACCCTTGTGGTAAAACTCATAGGTTATGAAAATCTCCACCAGTCGCCAGAAAACCAAAAGAGCAACTCTACTTTTTGTACGTTAAGTGATATTTGTAGCTGTTGGGGTAATTAAGTAATAAATTAACAGCTTACTGTAGATGAGACTAAATAAATCCATATAAATGAATTCCCTTCTACCCTGTTATGATTCAGATATTATTTTTATCTGCGAATCTGGAAATTTTCCTAGACCCATTGAAACCATCTCGTGTTACCAAAGAAAAGGAAAAAAGTTAACGAAAATTCCAACACTGCAAGCATATTCTCTTAAGCCCACAATATGTCCCTAATGATGACTTTCATGCCAACTTCTCAAACCGCTTTCTTGTTCTCCCCTTCTTCCTTTTGTCTTGAGTCTCAAATATTTATCTACTCCATCGTACATAATGCATCACCGTTTTTTCCTTTATTTTCTATTCCCATTGTCTCATCAGTGTCGATTGATTGCATTTTACCTAATGACTGACGCCGGCTACACAGACTTAAGGCACTTGTCATGTGTTTTTAGTGATGAACAAAATTCAATTTTTTTGATTCTGTGACTTTTAAGGAAAACATGTTATATCCACCAAAACGCTTCTCTATCCTTCTTGGAGGCTGAAATTTTATATTTGTTGCACCTATTGAATTCAGCATGACCACTCTGCTTACTATCAATTAATGATGCGTCTCCTGACCTTTTTCGTCAATGTTCGAAAAGTGAAAAATGTATCTCTATGTATATGTTTAAATCCGCTCAACGAAATATCTCAAGAGAAACATGTGCACAAATACGTAATAAGTAGCATGTTAAGTATTTTTCAAAATTAAATGACCAGTTACATGCTTAAATTCTCATGCTAAATATATGGGCATTTACGAGTAGTTGTTTCAAATTATAAAGAACAGTTCCAAAAATTGATTTAAATGTTCATTGTCATTAAAATGGTTTGTTGAACCTTGTGCTTTGATGAAAAACCATCACCATGTATTTTTCGCTGGACTAAGAAGATAAAGAGAACAAAAACAGGTCGGATTGGAATTTTAATGATGAGTTCCAACTGGAAAATACAAATTTGAAAAAAAAAAAATAAAAATAAATACGATTTTTAAGGTGAAGTATTTTTGTGTAATTTATGTGTTTTCAGAGCCATTAAGCCGTAAAATACGACCTGAGAAGGGATCCAAAAATATATAATGCGTAAATACTCAATAAAAAATGAAGTAAAAGAATACTTCACGTTTCAATAAAATCATTGAGAATACAATTTTCTTTTTTGAATACAAAATTGAGTATTAAATAAATCCTAGCGGTAATTGATATCATTATCATTGATGATAAACGGTGCTTTACCCCCAAATAAAATGGTCCTGTGTGTAAATCAAGAGTCAAGATAAACGGAACTCAAATCATTCACAGGCCACTGCTGTCTGGTTGTTAGATAGTTATATAGAAATAATTGCATCATGATGGGAAATTCAATTACAGTGATTTGCAACCTATACGTATTGATCAACTTTCCACTCATTTCAGATCACCAGTTTTACCATCGATGGGCTTTGCTCACCGACCCAGAGGACATAGCCGGAGGACCGAAGGGATATTTAAAGTGTGACATATCTGTGGTTGGTAAAGGTGATTCTGTTAAAGTTCCACCGAAAAGTGAAAAAGATGAGGATGACATCGAAGCGTGAGTCAAAATTTTATAAATATAAATGGAGAAAAAAGAATGAATGAAATAGTGCAATTATTTTCGATCTTTAAAACTTCTCTTCTGGAAAATTGTACATTTTAATGGATTTGGTTGGTTTCAAAGTATAAAATTGAAGTGACATTGTGAGATGAGTTGCAAAGTAGGAAGACTTTACTGTAATTGCGTCGTCGATAAAAGTTTGCTGCGTTGTGCTGTTGGACCGCGATGAACCGAAAGAAACCAAGCCACATCAGCTATTGCCAAATTTAACTGGGCACTTAAATTTTTAACATGAAGACGGTTGTGAAGATTTTTGTGCATATTTCAGCGTATTTTCTGCATATTGCGAAGCAAGTTTCTAAAAATTTTCAAAGGAATCCACAGAAACGTTCTCTTGTAAACAATTAAATTACACTGTTAAATTTAGCGATAGCTGATGTTGCTTGGTTCCTTTCTGCGAAAAGCGGTCCAATTACGCCTTTATCTCTTGTGGTTTTCCTTCTTTTCCTCCTCAACATAATTTTGATTAAAAATATTAATTAATTTTGATGATTAATGACTTTTTGTCTATTTCATTTTCCTGGAATGTCAATCTTCCAATATTTTTGTTGGTATTTTTATAATGATTTAAAATCCTTTTAACGCTATTTTTACGTTTATGCTTTAACAACGTTTATTTTTCTTCTACATGCAGGAACTTGCTGTTGCCGGATGGAGTTCCGATGGAAAGACAGAGAGCGAAGTTCATCGTTAAAATCTATAGGGCGGACGGACTACCAAAAATGAATTCTTCCATTGTTGCCAATGTTAAAAAAGCTTTTACAAGAGAGGTGCGAGACCTCGTTGATCCATATGTACAAGTATCCTTTGCTGGACTCACTGTGAGTATTGCCATCCATTTATGCATGTACAGCTATTTGTATTGTACACTGTGCATGTATTCAATTATATTCCTGGTCAAACCATTTCTGATAGCTCGTTATTATTAGTTCGATTATTGGTGTAATTTATTTGGTAATAATAACTCCGACTGGTCACTTCATTCTTGACTTGATTGCAAGCAACATTTTTGGAGAAATTGGAAGAAAGATACGCCCAATTTCCTTAATAAATACATTATATAGAAATAAATATGGCAACGTCTGAATAAGGCTCCTGAATCGTTTTTCCTAAGCTCGTGGTAGCCGAAAATTACACGATTTTTAATACAGAACCTGAAGATATTAGCTGAGGGGGTGATACCACTATTTGACCTCCTGAGAGCTCGGTGTGCCTATTCAATTCATTGAAGGCGTTTTCATTTATTTTTCGTCACCGCACGTATTAGTCCCTATGAACTGTCGAAGTAACAAGTAGATTATCATTTGAAACTATTTTCTCTTTAATGAACTTTTTGCATGATATGTCTCATTTATTATTTCATTTCATATTATATTTTATTATCTCATTTATAATACATTTACATTTTTAAAACGGGGCAATTATTTGAAAAACATTTTCCAAGCGAAGACATCGATATTAATTTCAATTAGCCATAGTTGCGTTGAAAAGAACCATACAAAAATTAATAAAAGAGGAAAAAGCAAGAATTATGGAATCTTTGATTTTAACCCGTGTGTACATCGATCTTTTAGAGCCAAATACGTCCAATTTTGAGCGTTTGGTTGCGCTTAAACCGCGATAAAGCACATTAAAGGTGCAAAATATAAAAGAAAGAATTAAAGGGGTTGTGAGAATCATTATGTTTGACACGGAACCACCTTAATATTCAAAAAAATACTCATTATATTTTCCTTTGATACATCTTTTTTTCAACAATTACATGAAAATAATCGGTGCAGACTGTGCAAACATTTCAAAATTATGAGTCGAAAAACGCTGACTCTGTGACGTTAAATACATATAAGAGCCTAACACAGCGGAGAGACGTGCTGCCGGCGCGGAACGCGCACTAGCGCCTACAAACCTAAGGGGATACTTCACGCATTGCGCAATGCGTGAAGTATCCCTGTTAGGTTTGTAGGCGCCAATGCGCGTACCGCGCTGGCCGGCCGGCCGCCGCTCCGCAGATTGCCACGCTTTACTCAAGTAACTATTTTACAATAGAGGTGTTGCACAGTATCATACGAAATGGTAGGTATGGCGGGCCGTTAGGTCCAAAATTCCCGAATATATTAATTTTTGTGAGAATATATTTTTTTTCCGAATATATATTTTTTTCCCGATATATATGTATTTTTTTGAGAATATATATTTTTTTCCTTGAGAATATATAATTGGTTTGAGAATTTATTTTTTCTCAGAATATATAATTTCTCGAAAAAAAAAAAAAAAAAATATTCTCAAAAAAATACNTAGGTAGGCGCTCCAACATATTGAGAGTGACAAGCATCCTTTAAGAGTACAGAGCTTTCCTCGCAAAATATCTCAAGATACTACGGCACAAAAAGAGAGCGGTAGTCAAAAAACTCACCAAGTCCTATAGCATCCGTATTTAATAACGTTAAGCATAATTTTTTAATTTCAATAGAGAAAAAAGTGACTTGATTTAGGCAGAAAAATTATTGAGTATGTCGTCAAGAAGATTATATTTTGAATTTAGAATAAAAAAGCTGAATAAATGCTGGTTTTAACTTGGTGTAAGTGACTTTTTTTTATATCGTATAAGCATATTTTCTTCTTCAAACGAGCATATTTCTATATTGATTCATAAGGAAATCTTTGCTGGTAAATATAAGCATATTTCTGCTTGGATCAAGTCACTATTTCCTCTAGTTAAGTTCAAAAATCATGCTAAACGTTTTATTAAATACAGATACTAGGACTCAGCAAGTTTTTTGACTACCGCTCTCTTTTTGTTATCGCCACTCTATTTAATTTGCGAGCAAAGCTCGTGTCTTTGAAAGATGCCATCAATCATGAAGTTAAAAAAAAACTAACATTCCCATATGGAACACCAAAAATTTTGGTCGAGGTGTTTTCAGTCATAGGAACGGAATTTTCATTCAAAGGCCTAATTTTATGTTAGGCATACTCGCATTCTAGACCGAATACTTAGGTTGTCTGACGTAAATTCGGTTTCTTTGGCTGAAAATTTTGGTTACCTCGACAAAAAAGTCTTGAGTTTTTTCCCTCAAGGATGGGCAAAATTCGTTCACTTGATTAATGGACATGATTTCCTCAAAATATTAAGGAAAGATACGTTAAATGTTGACTAATTGACGCACTGATTATTTTATTAACACATTTTCCTGAAGTAAACTTTGCAACAAAAAAAGCCTGCAAATTATTTTCTAGCTTTGCAACATTAGTGTTCAATTTTGTCGATCATTTATGCCACCTTCATTGTGAAAACTATGTGTATAAAGGATAGAATTTTTTTTTTTCATTTCAGGGTAAAACAAGCATTAAGAAAAATAGTTATGCTCCAGTTTGGAATGAAGAAATCATTTTTTCAGAGATGTTCCCTCCTCTGTGTCAACGGATAAAAATTCAACTCAGGGATGATTCTGTAAAGAGGGCCGTAATAGGGACTCATTTCGTGGATTTGAAAACCATCTCCAATGATGGCGATAAAGGTACGTCAATACTGAAACTGTAGACCTACAATATATATATCTGTCAGTCAATGAACTGAAAATAATGGAGTCAGGTGCTCACTTACCATTTAATTCAGAATCAAAAGATACACGCGAAAATGTTCATTCTTCATAATTATCTACAAAATCTCTCAGAATATCGTATATTTTTTTCTTTCCACCGATAAATTGTTAATTTTAAAGGAAAAGAATTGTGTGAATTATTATACTTTACATATGTTGAGTATTTTTAAAAGGAAATTAGATATTTCACGATTTTTAAAACGCTCAATAACGCGCTGGTTCTTTTTTGCTAAATGCGATCTAATGGAGAATTTGCAGGTATCTGAACGTGGTGAATTTTATGTTTAGGATGAAACCACTTAGGGAATTGAGCACGAGAATATCCTTGATTGCTAAATCAAACTATTATTGGAAGAGATATGACAAAATAACTGAATCTGGTAAAACGCATGTGTTGAAATGGGAAGTGCCACCAGATGACGTCACAAGGCGGTACACTCTCTTACTTTTAATTCTATTTTTACACAATTTGCCATTACAGGACAATATTATGAGAAACACTGAAAATTTAGCTCATTAAGCACTCTAAGATGTAGCAATAAACATTTTTCGTGCAATTCTCCATCAGTACACTGAGAAAAAACTATGCATGGTTATAATTACCATATTAGTGGTGTTCAATATGCACTCTTAAAGTAGTGGCCATAACTAATAATAGTGATATTTTTACTGGAGCAATCGTAATTTTACAAGTGTGCGGTGGTAAAATTACCATTTAATGGTAAAATATCTCTATTATTGGTTATGGCAACTACCAATTGGACCGAGTTAAGCAGAAAGGAACCAACCCACATTTTGGAAAAAATTGAGTTATGAGTGGTTTTGAACTCAACCACTGCCCTACTATCTATCTCCGAAAATTCTAAGTTATTGTTGAAGCAAGTTTTGCAGAAACAGAACTTGAGGTTTATCTTTTAAATTGAGTCTTATGCAGGAGCCAAACTTTAAACCTCTTTTTCTCGGTTCGATCCCGATGTGGCTTGGTTCCTTTCTGTGTAACTCCGTCCAATTAAGAGTTCATATTGAACAACACTAATATGACGATTATAACCATAATTTTTTCTCAGTGTAGACGCTGCCTATTGCGGAATTTTTCAGGTTTCCTACCGACGTTCGGCCCGAACTTCATCCACCTGTACGGCTCGACGCGGGACTACAACATCCTGGACGAGCACGCGAGCCTGAACCTGGGCCTGGGCGAGGGCGTCTCGTACCGCGGGCGCCTCCTCGTGGCCATCCGCACGGAGATCACGGACAACGTGGACGTGGCGCCGGCCGAGGTCGAGGTGGAGCCCACCTACCCCATCACCGAGGCCTCCTACTCCAAGAACGAGGAGTTCTTCCTCTTCACCACCGTCCTCGAGGCCACCATGATCGACAAGAAGCTCAGCGACAAGCCCATGTTCTTCGAGCTCAGCGTCGGCAACGCCGGCAACATGCTCGACGGCTACAACGAGTCCAGTCATAATAACGTGGAGTGCGAGGGTGACGAGCAGTTGGAGCACGTGACGTCAGAGTCGTGGCAGAGCTCCACGTCGGCCTCCAAGCCGATGACCCACGATAGGATATACTATTACCTCCCGTATTGGGAGGATAAGCCGTGCCTCCATGTGAGGTCCGTGTGGCCGGATCACCGCAGGAGGATGTACAACTCTAACCTCATAGCTCAAATCATAGAGAAATTAGTGAGTAGTTTTCATACAGAAGAAAGAGGAGGTGTTTGTATCTTGAGGATTGTTTACCTCGTGACGTAGGTCAGTACTGCATGGCCAGCAAAATCCGAAATTCGAAGTATGAAAAACGGACCGTAACGACCGATTTTTTGCTTGGATCAACTCATGATATAATTTCAAACACTTTATTTGGAATGAATTTTTTCGGTAAACTATACCATTCCCACGAAAACTGATGATGAAAGTCTTCCGTATACCGACGCGCGTCATCAAAAAAATCCGAGATACCCGAAATGAAAACACCTCCTTTTTTTTCTCTTTGAGTAGTTTACATCATGTCGTGTTCTGCGTCAATACCCGCACTGAAAAAAAAAAAAAAAAAAAAAAAAAAAACCGCCGGTCGTGGAGGCCGCACTTACAGGCCATATAGACATACCGTCGGCGATCCAGGCTTAGAGGCCAGAAGTTCGAGGCATAGCACCCGGAGGAATCGAAGATACGGCTCCAGCACCCGGAAATTTCGGCCTCTACGCCCGGAACGGGCGGTATGTCCGTATTACTCTTAACTTGTTTTCTCAGTGCGTGTGCTTCACTTGGTGTGAAAGGATGAGACCTCATGCAAAGAGCTATTCTCGTGCCATGTCAATGATAATGAGGTATTTTGCCCTCATTTTTTAAATGGATCCTCATAAGCCGCAAGAGACTGATTTAATTTCGACAACGTCAATCGCGGTGTATATCTTTCTTTGAAAGTTTAATTGGACTTATTTCTATCAAACGGAAGTACGTGCATTATGACGTGAGCCCTGTTATGCATATATTCTTATGGGCCTCAGGGCTCATGTCTTAATGCACATAGTTCCGTTTGAGAGAAATACGTCAAATTATTGTGAACAAAATAAGTAACTTGAATAGTGAATACATCACCAAGCAAAAAATGCTCACCTATGAGCATGCTTCTTGCAAATGAAAAATCAATTTGGTAATGTAGCATCGCGTCCATGATCTTGGACTCCATGATCACTTATATAATGTTAGGTTGCTCATCACGTCCAAGATCTTGGACTCCATGCTCACTTTGATGAGGGATAATTTTTTAGAAAAATCAAAGTGCCCAAAATTGTGGGATGCAGGTATTCTCTGGTAACACACGAGCTTAAGGTCCAAAAGTTCATTTAGACAATTTTTGTGAAATAAAGACGAATTTTTGTGCATTGGTTTGGTTAGGGTAAGTTAGGTTGGGTTAGGTTAGGTTAGGTTAGGTTAGGTTAGGTTAGTTCAAGCTAGATTTGATAAGAGAAGTTTACGATTTTCTATCATGGTGAACTTTAAAAATAAAAAAGGTCTACTTGCTATTGGACTCCATGCTCAAGCAAAGAAGTGAAAAGTTTAGCGATGAGCATGGAGTCCAAGATCTTGGACGAGATGAGCAGGCAAGTATATTAAGGGTGAGCATGGAGTCCAATATCATGGACGCGATGCTACATAAATCTGAAATTTTGCGTGTCTAGAGGTCACACATATGAGGGACTCGGAGAATAAGACGCATAAGTGCAGTTTTTCCTATTTTAGGAAATACGTACTTAAAGTTTCAAAATTACAAGGAGTTTAATAGCGGAACGAAAACCGAGTTTTATGGCAATTAGGCGTCGCAGAGCGCTGTGTATGTACTATATTGCTTATATTTTCATTTCTGCCGCTTATGTCTTTTTGAGGATGACTGATTCAATCGCTTCCTCTGTTCCAATTTCTCAGGAAGAAGGGCTGAGCGAGGTGCAGTCGTCAATTCTCGTCGAAGACTCAGACGCCGAGAAAAAACTGAAAGTTGTGTTGGAAGAATTGAGTATGACGTGCGCCCGGTACACAACGATATCGAAAAGCTCCAGCTCCGGCTCGGGAACCGGCAAAACGAAACTGGATAAAGAGAGAACGAAAATGTGTCTCCGAGAGATAGTAAGTTTTTTCCGATCATTGCGGATTTATTTCCATTTCGTTTTAAACTTGAAAGTATGAAACTTGGAGGAAAGCTATCTAAAAAGGCATCCGCTGGATAGCTCCCACTCAAAAATAATTGACATGGCTATCGGCAAAATGCAGAGAACCTCTGCCGTGGTGGGTCGATTGTTGAATGGATATCGAATGGCCTTGATCGATAAAAAGCATTGCTAAGATAGGGATTAATCGATCAGGGTCATTCGATATCGATTCAACCATCTATATCGAATGACTATGATCGATAAAAAACATTCCTAAGATAGGGATCTATCGATCGGGGTCATTCGATATCGATTCAACCTTCGATACCGAATGACTATGATCGATAAAAAGTATTGCTGAGATAGAGATTTATCGATCAGGGTCATTCGATAGCGATTCAATAATCGACCCGGTGATGTCCAGATTATCCTAGTGTCAACTTTAATGCGTTTCTCGAAAGTTTGCATTCTAACTTGCGCATCTTCTTCCGGTGAGTTTCTACGGGCTCCTGGGAGTCGGAACAACCACAAATCGTACTTTAGGACTTGTTGCACCGACTATGTAAAGCTTTCTAGATGATAAATGAGTCGTACAGTCAAATGCATCCAATTCGCAATAGTGCCGATCTCACGGTTTTCGTTAAGCCCAATTCACACAATCAAACTTTTTATCCGATATAATTGAGCGAAAAAGTTGGATAGAAAGTTGAACGCAAACAAATTTTTTGATTTAATTACTCTTCGTTCAACTTTCCATCCAATCGGCGCATCAATTGGATGGAAAGTTGAACGAAAAGTTGAATGTGACGGCATATTTAAGTTTTCGTTCAACTTTGTCAATTGTCATTTTCTAGCGTCATCATAACACTATCGCACTTTTCATTACGACAATTTGCATTCAAGAGTTGAATGAAAAGTTTGATAGTGTGGATTGGGCTTAGCAAAATATGATGAGCTTTTTACAGATACATTTCTACAATTAGTATTTGGAATGGAGTAGGGAATAAAAATTACATTTCTTACCTTAAGTGACGATGATGAAATATACATGACGAGGATTTTGTTATCACTTTGTTTCAGGATCTTATCGGTGGCCAAGCCAGGACTTTAAAAGCTCTGGTAACAAAAAATTCTCTGAAGGAAAGGTTCAAGACTGCTCATAGTTACCTGACAAAATTGAAAAGTATCATGGAGGATGTAAGATTTGCACCTTAAACTTAGATTCTGATGATTGATAACTTAGATTTCTGTTCGCATGAAACTTTTTTCTCTACAACGAAATAATTCACGCCAAAAATTAGATTGCACATGAATATATTTTTTATAATTAAATTTTTTTATCATTAAAAAAAACCTTGTTTTAAAGGCTTAATTAAGGAGTCCGCCCTGGACTTTGATTGTTTAAAGTTTTTCATATATAATATTTTTTATTTTTATTTTATATTATTTTATGATATGTTTGTTTCAGTCTGCCACATGAGGTATTATTTCTTTTATGTTAATATATTGATGTTTTATTTTTTATGATTTTTTTTTTTTTTTTTAACAACGTTTCTTTTAAAAATTAAGAATTTTTTAAAATTGTTAGAGATAAATTTGAGTGTAATCTTCCTAATTCCTCTTTTTCATTTTGTTTATTAAAGTTTCAGGACTAATACCTTATGTTTTCCCTTGCTCTGCTCAGTTTTTGTTTTTACTTAGTCCATGATTACCTATACTTAGCAAGGATATTATTATATCAAGGTTGAATGAAGTTTAAACTATTGCGAAGGGCTAATTGGACGTATTTATACTAAAAGAAACTGATGACGGATGGGAAAAGGGGTGCATTCGTGGCGGTAGCCTAAGAAACAGTGTAAAAAAGGGCGAGATTTCCCTTGAAAAAATGGGAATTCACATTAAGTCAGCAGGAATTCAGGGCCAAAATATGACAAATCATGAGCCGTTTGCATGTAACGAGAGCGTTTTGGGCAAAGCTCATCGGTTAAAAAGCCCCTTCCCCACCCTGTCTCCGTTGACGTCACTGGTGCTCTATAATTCCCTTTCATTCTTACGGCCCTCAACCAGCTAGCTTAATCCTTCTTTCCTACCCGTCCCTCCTTCCTTTCAGTAAAAATACGTTCATATCAAGTGGGGACGCAACTAAAACTATAGGCTAGTTTGAATTCATTCCATTTGTTTTCCCACTTCAGAAAGAAGGTTGCAAAATTTGAGAGTCACCGACACTGCTAAATGCAAGCAATACGAGGATTTACTCTTGCTACTTTCTTGCTATCAACCACAGTGGCGTGGCGTGCATTGCGATATATCGATTGTTATGCCGTTTAAACCCATGGAAAATGATCGATAAACAGGGTGTTCGCAGCGAACACCTTAATAATCGATTCTTCGACATAGGTTTAAATGGCATAACAATCGATACATCGCAATTCACGCCACGCCACTGATCAACCTATGTCCAAATTCTTTAACAAGGAGTAAACAAATCGCAACTCATTCTTATATACAGACTCAATAATGACCGCTAACTGTCGCCACAAAACAATTGGATGACTTTCTTTTGCTTTTAGCCCCAACACTCATTACCCGATGTATTTATCTGGTTGATAAGCAACGGTAAAAGAACAGCATATCAGCGAATTCCAGCCAGGGATCTTATTTTCTCCGTAGTGAATGAGGAGAGCGGCAGGTGGTGCTCAAAAGTTCGATCTCTATTTTTGAAGGTAAGTCAACCGCTGACAAAAAGGAAATCTATTTTCAATTCATCAACTTACCATGCATCTAATGCACGTTAAATTGACTAAATGTTGTATTATGGAACTATTTTTTCTCGCATATCCATAAAAGCACGTACCTGCATTGAGGAATACATGGCTTATGAGCTTTTATTTTAAATAAGTTAGGAATAATAGTTCTATTACAAAATATGGTTCAAATCTCCAAATATCACTACCGATTTTTTTACAAGTGTAGAATCCCTCCTGGACATAATGAATATATGTTGCGAGAAAAATATTAGTTCACCCTAGTGTAAATATTACCTTGCGGTGAGCTAACCATCACCTTGCGGCAAGGTATCGGCCTTGCCGCCCTCTCCGAGCCCTATCCGAGCCCTATCCGAGCCCTATCCGAGCCCTCACCGAGCTAGTTCATGGAACTCGACGACCGGGAATAAAACCGTATGACAACACTGTAGACCCAAATCCAGACGCAGGGCGCGAAAAAGGCGACACAGCATCGGGAAATACCCCGTGTTGGGTATCCCTTTCGTCTCCAACGTTGCCATGCATAATTATTCCCAGTCGTTAAGTTCCACGAACTGACCCGGCGAGGCCTCGGATAGGGCTCGGAGAGGGTGGCAAGGCCGAAACCTTGCCGCAAGGTGATGGTGAGCTCACCGCAAGGTAATATTTTCTCTAGGGAGACTTTTTTGCCATAAGTTACTCGTATCTTGCACCCTTAATAATTAAATTTAAATTGGTAGCTCCTTTCAAATTGTATTTCTTTCTCATTTTAGCTGCCTGGTAAAAAAGGCATAGGTCCGAGTGGATGGACAATCCAAGCAAAACTGCAGATTTACATGTGGATGGGTCTGTTAAAGCACAAAATGTACTTTGTAAACGGCCTGCCGAAAGGTTACGAAGTTTCTCATGAGATAAGCAATGCTGAAAGACCGCGTGCTTTACCTCCCTCTGTCATTCATTACACCATGAAGTATGTAAGTATATTCTACCAAGTTACCTACGTGAATCGCCGTCTCCTAAAACACACATAATTCAGTTTATCAGCTCCTCTTTTAAAATGTATACTGTCTCGCTGAAGAAAAACGTTGTACAAGCCATCTGACGTTGCCAAAGTCCCGTCAATAAATTCCGAATTTTTCTGGGAGGCTTTTGAATATTTTTCTTCCCCTTTCTTTCATTTTCGATCGAATCTAAATTATTTGAACATTTTTAGAAAAAATAAATATTCTAACAGAAAGAATTCGATTGAAAGATTTTTTCGATACAGCGTTTTTTCTTAGCACGGCAGTAAAATACATTTCGATGGTGAAACTACCAAACCGCGTATCTCGGTTTGCGACGTCGCAGACTTCCTGTCATACTTTATTTTTTAAATGAAAAACTACTTAACGTCCAGTCTTAAAAATTTCTGTGATTTTTCCTTTTCGTACGGAGAAAATTCTGTGAAAATTTCAAGGAATGATATTGATTCGGTCTACTTCAAAAAAATATAATGTGAGCGTAGATTTTTAAACACCGCAAACGAGATACGTGGTTTGGTAGTTTCACCGTCGATATATGCTCTTTCCGTTGAAGTGTCAATTATTCATTAAATATCATCCGTCGTTGCTTTAGCACGAGTAAAATAATGTATAAAAACGAACGTTTAAAAACTGTGCGCATCCAAACGTATGGAATCCAAAGTCTTCCTGAGATTCATACGCGAATTTTGTCCCTTAACTTTACTCAACCGAACAACACAGAGCTCTCCTTCAATTCAGTAGCTATGCAATGTGAACATCACATCATCATGTGTGCATTAAAACAACAGTATGAGAGGACGATCAGACTGTACGAAACAAGTAAATACACCACAATTAAATAGATGACGCGGCCATCATATTTGCGGCTGTTACAAAATGTCCATGGCATAACAATGAATTGCTTTATTTATGTGAGTGAATATATTGTTTTCACAATACTTTAATATTCATAAGCCGTGCATAGATTGCATAAAAAGTTAATTTCTTATTTTACATTTCAGTCATTTCAGATGCGAGCTTATATTTATCAAGCAAGATCTTTGATTGGGTCTGATGCCTCTGGACTATCCGATCCCTTCGCTAGAGTTATCATATCAGAGTACTGTAGAACTACTCAGGTTAGTATTTTCATCCCTCAATGCAGTATATTTTCGTATTACATGCAACTGCACAGAAATTATTATTTTTTTATTATTATTTTTTTTATACGACAGTTACCTCTTACCTGTGTGTTTTCCTTCTACAGTTGTCATGGTTGTACTGGGTTTCTATTGACCCATTACTAATTTCTATGTTGACTGTTTTTCTAGGTAATTGATGAGACTTTGAGCCCAACTTGGGATGAATTGCTTGTGTTCGACGAGATACTGATTTACGGTGTCAGGGAGGAAATTAAAAATGATCCACCAATCGTCATTATCGAAATCTTTGATCAAGACAAAGTGGTAATACATTATTTAATGTTTATGTTGTGCTTATCAAAATAATAATTTGAAAATCTGATAGTCAAACACTCCCAGCCGATATTTACGATACTAAGTAAGTGTATGAATTCAACTAAGGGGCCGTCCTTAAATTGCATAACGCTTTAGGGGGAGGGGGTCTAGGAGGGCTTTACGCCATTTTGATATGACGTGATAATGGATAGGGACCTACGTTACAAAAGCGTCACAAGGGGGGGGGTGCCAAAGATGCCGCAAAAGTGCGTTACGTAATTTAAAAACGGCCCTAACATGTGTTTCGAAGAGTTGACATCTCCAATTTATTGTGAACGCAGAAACCTGATATTTGACCAATTCTCATTACTTCCCAGACAAATACAGGCGGCACTTCGCATACCTATCTATTTACAATTGTGTACCCATTCTATATTTAAATACATAAGTAAAATTGATTATGTAGTTTTAAAAAAAATAGAATAACAAATTCCGCAATGATAACTTTTTCCCCAGGCGGGATTGTACAATTCACAGGAATTTGACAAAAACGTAGCTGATGCACAAGATTGTGGCTTGAATTCGTGAAACATGATATTTTTCATGAAGTGTCAAATGGACGTATTTCTTTCAAACGGAACTAAGCGCCATAGAAAAGCATTGCGAGTATAGGACGGAATGAGCCCAACGCAACGCCCGGTTTCGCCGCCAATCAAAGCCCCCCCTCTACCTTCCTCCCCCTGTGGCGCTTAGTTCCGTTTGACAGAAATACGTCCAAATGCTAATGTGTGAAAGCAGTAGGTAAGTGATATTTTTGTGCGTTTGGCACAAACGCATTTAATGTTACAAAAACTGCATTGGAAATCATAAAATAAATGAGTTGTAGGAACATCAAAAACTGAGACAATGAAGGAAACAAACACGAAAAAATAAACAAAATCCACAAAGTTTTCTCCAAGAAGACTTGGAATGTTTGTGAATAGCTCAGTCACCATATCTAGTAATATCTTCTTTTCTACTTAAAATGTCACTCACCTCTTGTATTTGCAATTCCCCTCAAATACTTAAATGACATTTCACAGGGCAAATCAGAATTTATTGGAAGAGCAATCGCAAAACCGCACGTGAAACTGTTGGAAGAGCCGTATTCCAAGCCTAACTTTCCTCCATCATTAGAGTGGTACGAAATTCACCGAGGCCTTGAACAAGCGGGAGAGCTCCTTGCAACTTTTGAACTCCTGGAGGTAAGTAGTGGTTCGAGGGGTCAAAAACTTTTAATTAAACCTTAACCTTTTAATCACAATCGTTCATCAGGATTTTATGATCCACTTAGCTCACTATAACTTCCAATCAATTGCAGTCATCATTTGCGGTTCTTAAAAAAAAATCCAAATTTTGAAACTTTTAGTATCCGTTGGAATTATTTGAACTCCCACAGGATCCCAGAAGTTAGACCATTACCCAGAGTTTTTCCGGAAACTTAGACTGATTAGCTGTTTTCAGTCTCAGTTTTACTGAAATTTCGAACTTTATGCAGATTCCACCCGACAACTATTTGATAAATAAAAACCTTCCTGGAATTCACGATCTTCTTCAACTCCTAAAAGTTTTATACAACTCTTTAACGAGAGCACTGTTTCAAAGTATGTACAGTGTAGCTTTAGCTCCATTCTCTAGAATGGACCACTGGACAAGGTACGAATTTCAGCATTCTGATACAAGTTTCCTAACTAAAATTTAACGTAGATAACGATGCGCACAACAAAAATTTAAAAAAAAATCACTCCTTACGAAGAAATATAATTATTCCTGATGCGTGAATTCAAACCACCCGCTTATGAAAACTCAATGGTCTGCGTGATTCACATCGCGCTCTCAACGTTGTCATGACAGTCTTTGCGTTACACAAATCTTGCTACCTCAATCTTGACGCTTTGGCTCAGCTGTAGCAAATTGCCGATGGTTTGAACAGCACATGGTGGGAAATGAACATCGCTGGATTGAGAAGCTTGGTGAAACCGTTGTAGTGCGCGATTTGACTCACGTAGAGCTATGTGTTTCTCGTGAGCGGGCAGTTCAAATTCCTCGTAACCAATGTGAAATAAAAACGTTGTTAGGAGTTGGTTTCAGTGATTTTCGTTGTGCTAATCGTGTTTTACGTGAAATTCTGGTTAAGATACATGTATCATATTGCTTAAATTCGTACCTTGTCCAGTGGTCCATTTCGAAATATTTACAATCTTCACACAATATACACAAACTTCTTATATCGTTTCTGGTGTCCGTGCATGTCATTAACCGATAAGCGTCTCACTTTGGACAAAAATATGAATAATAATAAAAATGTGTACAGAGTCGTGAAGCTTACTAAAATTATCATTTTCTAGCTTCCTAACCGAACTGCCACCGCAAATCTACCCGAGTTACCTGAGCCTAAAATCACGAGTGTCATCCCAATTCAGAGCCCAACAGAGGCTCATCACGGGCCTGTCCTGCCTGTTCCAAAAGGCATAAGACCTACCTTAGCAAAGTACAGGTGAGTCGTAATCCATAAAAGATCCGTCAATTTAACTAAATGTGTTGCCTCTCAATGACGAAGCGTGAATGATCGTTTATCTATATTTCCCTATTTGAAGCTATGGGAAAGAATCGATTATTTAGGTGTTCATTGCGAACAGCCCTTCTGTCGATCCTTTTCCATAGGTTTAAACGGAAGATCAATCGATACACCGTAGAGCACGCAACAAAACTATTGCCTCTTGATGTTATAATGAACATTCCTGACGATAACGTTCCAAGGTTGCAAAATTGATTGAATTAATGCATTACATACAAGGTTATAATTGTGCAATTTCTGTCCAAAATTCTGCTGATTTCAGCAGCCACTCAGAAGAAAGATTAGTGAAATCATCGGATAGAAAAACGTACAACTTTTGGACTAAGAATGCAACTTTTGAGTGAAAATTTCGCAACGTGGAAATTTAGTTACGTTCTTTCATCCTGGAAACCACATTATTTGGACCGCATTTCTTTGCAATGATGAGCCGCTATATCTGGCTCATTTTAGAAACAACATATATCGACGGTGTAAGTCGGCAATCACATAACTCGGTTTGCGACGTCGCAGATTTCCTGTCATACTTCATTTTTTAAACGGAAAACTACTCAACGACAATTCTTTAAAATTGCCGTAATTTTTCTTCTCTGTGCGAGGATAATTCTGCAAAAACTTCAAGGAGTGATGTCAATTTGTTCTCCTTTAAAAAAATAACAAAGAGGCGGAGATTTTCAGACACCGCAAACGAGTTATGTGATTGCCGACTTACACCGTCAATATGTCGCTGGTTTCCCTATGCAGAAAGGTGCTTGTAAGGAAGAGCCGGAAATACTGCTTCCTTATTTCAATCTATCGATGGGGAGATGGACATGTAGCGCGTAGGCGCTATCACTTATAAATATCACTTATAAAGATTCAATAAACTACATGGCTCATGACAGAAATTAATTAAAAGTTTGTCCAAATCTTGTTTTTGGTGTGTGCTTTGTGATGAGAATATTTTCGGAAATAAACTTCCGAATCCAACTCCTCGACAAGTTTTTGAGCATGAAAAGCCCTAGTCGTAAAATCATTCCAAGTCAAATTTTTCTTTCAAAGGATCGAAGCCTTATTTTGGGGCTTACGGGATCTAAAGAGAATTCATTTGATGAGTGTGGATCGACCAAGGGTTGACATCGAGTGTGCTGGACATATTCTCAACTCCTCGGTCATTCAAAACGCTAAGAAGAACCCAAACTTTAGCAATCCTGTCAAATTTTTAGATCTAGTAAGTATTCTACTTCTATACGATACATACATAAAGCCGCTTTTATAGCGCAGCCTCGCGCTCTGCGCGGAAATATACGCCCAAATCCGATTCCTCGACAATTTTCGGAGCACGATAAGCCCTTATTTTAAAATCATTCCAAGTGGAATGAGATTTATTCACAAAGGCATTAAGAAATATGTGACACCCTAACGATGTATCCAAATTTAAATTAAAGGTCTCTTGTGTTTTAGCATTTAAGACAACATTAAACACGAGCTTATGGGTGTGTAATTTTCAGACTTGTTGATACCTTACGGTGAATTAAATTAATGTTGTGCGTATAGCAATATTCTCATTTTTAAATATTTCATCCTGCGAGGGGATTCATTTTTTTATATCAAAAAGCAAGCATATTTAACCAACCACTATAATATTTGCATGTATATTTTCTTTTCAAGAAGTACATCAATGTTGGTATTCCTCAAAATATGACCGGTGGTTTTATCGCGAAATTGAAATAATAGTTAAGAACGAAAATTTTGATTAGTTTTTTTTTTTACGGCTAACTCAATTGTTGAAACCGTCTCTTCATTCCGGCGCTTTTAAGATCCCCCTCATTCTCTAATCACTCGTATGACTTGCGCCTCTTGTTTCAGGAGCTTCCAGAGCAAGAATTGTACAGACCTCCACTGACAATAAGAGCGATAGATTGCCGTAGCTTCGGTCGTTTTACACTGGTTGGAACGCATATGATCAACTCAATTCACAAGTATATGTATCAGCCAGTGACAAGGAAAGAAAGGGAACTAGAGGAAAGAAAGCGCTCAACCGTGCTAGCCCAAAGTACGCTCAATTACTATTAACTTAGTTCAATTAATGAATATTTTTCTTTCATTATGTGATCTTCATCTTTGCTAAATGTAGATTTTATCACTCTTAATTCAGATAATGTCTATGTTTTCAAGATATCTCCCTAAAAATTGAACGCATTTGCGTTTAAACTTATTTATGATTGGGCGGGTATTACTATGTAATGAAGTAATTACTATCCGAAGAAAACTAAATCAAGCCGTGAATTCCAACACGATATGTTGATAAGGCGCGACTTAGACTCGTGTACATCAACCTGATTAGTGCTCATTTCCAGACATTTTAATGTAGGTATGCAGCACATGAAGAGAATTCACGATCCAACGCTGCGAGGTCAACCATGCACCGGCAGTCCGGCACCCTCGACGAGACTGTGTATTGTAAACGAAGAGAGCCATTCAAACGGGTTTAAATTTTTTGATCTGCCAAGCAAAAAATTATCAGCTTCTTAAAGAGCAGTGCCTGCTGAGTAATTAATGCCAAAAAAGACATCTTATCTCATCATTGTTTTTTTTCTCTCTCTTACAGATGGCGATGTCAATAATGTAAATACTTTTGTAACTAGCAATAATGAATACACCAATTATAATAGAAGTATTTTCTCTAATGATCGAATTATTTATTTTGATATGGTGAGTGTCAATTTCAGCTTCAAGTACATATATTCAAACATTCTTTTGCATGCAAAAAAGAGAAAGTGCATCAAGGAACTTATAAAACTGCTCAGTGCGTAAAGTAAGATTATAAGTATACAGTAAAGGAAACCAAGATTATCTTAAAAGACCCAATCGCTCGTCAATTTAAAAGAAGAAATCGAGTAAGAATAATTTTGAGCTTGACCAATCGGACACTTTTTCCATTCAGAAACTAAAGAGAAGCGAAAATATTTCGATTGTAAAAATTGGAGTGAAAAATTATGGTTTTCTTTTAAGCCTCGCCACATTAAATACCTGTCCCTCAATTTCATCCGAATTGTTACCGATGGACCTCGCTAAACTTGCTAAACTTGACCCAATCATGATCACTATCTGTCAAAATTAGGGATGTTTGTGTCACCATTGGTCCATTCCTATCAGGCGATCTCTCTAGTAAACTGCTTCCTTAATTCTTAAAAATATTCTCCCGTTAGTGACTTTACCATACTTTATTTGATTACATATACATTCAATTTCTTATTCTTAAGTGATGTACCTTTTCCTCAGGATTTACCTTATTTTTCTAAAAAAGCAATGAAAACTGAGTTTAATCGAAAGCGGAAAGCAAGCATGGTTGAAGATTATGTAGATGACGATGATGAGAGCAGAGACTGGTGGACTAAATATTTCGCATCTGTAGAAGCTACGATCGAGGTAAGAATTATTTTTCTAGAGAATTTGAACTAGGAACTACCGCGAAACCGTCATAAGGAGTTGAATTAGAGAATTTGCAGGTATGTCTGTTTGATGAATTTCGTGTTTCAGTAAGTGGAAACTCCTGAGTGAACTGAACTCGAAGATACTCTTGGTTCATGAATTGAACAATTATCAGAGAATATACATATATGACAACATGATCTAATCTGCTAAAATACGTGTGTTTAAATGGAAAATTCTTTCAGATGACATGACGTCACTAGGCGGTGCATCCTCTCACTTTTAAATCTATTTTTATACTATTTCCCATATCAGAAAAAAATTTATAAAGTATACTGTGAAATTAGCTCTTTAAGCACTTTCAGATGAAGCAATAAAGTATTTGCATGCAAATTCTTAACCGCATATCATACTCGCAATCAAAAGCGTTACGGAGAGGAGAAGAATGCGAAATTTTACAAAATTTGGAAGTAAAAACTATCCGGTAGTCAAGATAAATATGTTCAGTCTTCTACACATTTTGCCACGGAACAAACTTTTAGACTTCAAAATTGTTTAACATTCACATCCGTGATAACTTGGTGTATATTTTCGGGGATAAAATTTGCACCGTTTGACAACGCTTCTATGGTGCATTACAGCTCATTCGGAGTCTGAGGATTTCATGGTAAACGCGATTGCAAATACAACGTGGGAAGTACGATAAAACTCTATGGAACTAACAATTATTGCAGCTGTAGAATGTACATTGTGTCGAAGAAAGACAGAGCGCCTGCAATTTTTGTGTATGCAACACACACATCCCGAGGACACGAATAGTCGTATCCAGACCTAGTCATTGAAATAGCCTAGCGCCTTCAATTTTCTCTGCTTGTGATAACATTACGTGTTTATGCGCGCAAACAAAACCGTTTTAGGGAAGAGAAATATGAGTTTTTTTTTTTTTTTAAATTAATGAAAGATCTGGAAGGGTTTCACTTGTACCGATGCATTTTAGTCACACACAATTTTCCATTTCTTTCGCATTTTTACACAGAACCAACTTTCAGACTTCAAAATTACCGATAATTTGTTTTATTTTATTTGAATTTTTTTTATTATCGATCTGCATTTGAAAATTATCTGTTCACCCACAAAAATTAAACGTCATATTTTCCATGACCGTTTCCGACTGAATCCTTGTGCACTCTTATTTCTACCAGCATCTCTGAAATTCTGATATATTTTCCCATTTCAGGAAGGTAAAGAGGCAAGAAAAGAAAATGTATTGCAGACCAATGGTGGACTTTACGCTGATCACCCCGATACTGCTCAGCCAAAAAATGCAAAGCATAATAAATTAGGCCCCAGCACAGCTGCCAAATTAGTCGCTAAATTGAGCCCGAAAACAATCCAACGGAAGCAAGCGAAAAAAATTGCAAAAATAAAGGTAAGTACTCGAACATCTTCTGCCGTGCTAAAGAACAACGCCGCATAAGCCATCAGGCGTTACCAAATTATCTCCGAAAAACGACGAATTTTCAGAAAAATTTGCGAATATTATTACTTTTCCGATTTCTCGGAGAATTTTCTTCGAAATTGTATTTAAAAAGTCTGAAAATTTCGAGGAAAAATATTCATAATTTTCTGGGAGAAAATTTGGCGATAAACGAATGCTCATACGGCGATTTTCCTTGGCACGGCAGTGTTAGTCATGCGAGTTAGTATTTAGCGTGGAACCACTCTAATCTTGAAGTTAAGTTATGCCGCGATAAAGAAAGGTTCGAATTGTAATTACTCTCATAGGGGGAGTTTTTCACAATGGAAAGAACGTGTCTGCCGATTTGAATGAAAACCAAAAGCCGGGTTTTGACAACCTCTATCACCACAGGGGAAAACATGTTTTCAAATAGTGTTGTCCATATTTGCCTTTTATATTGCAAAAATGCAACCCTAATACACGGCACACCGACTGATTATCGCTAAAGTCAACGGAAAAATGGCGTATAAACTTCCCGTGGATCACATCGCATTTGCACTGTTTTTCGAGTGGACCGGGAAATTCCGTTGTTTCCCGCACGAAGGAACGTAACTCCATTCCAAAGTTGCAAAGTTCGCTAAAACTATTCCATTTTTTACAAGAGCATACGTTTGCAATTTCTGTCTAAAATGTTTCTGATTTTGGCATGGAATCAGAGGAAAAATCGTGGAAATGCTCAGTTAAAAATGCCCCAAATTCTCCTCGTAAAAATGCAATTTTTGAGAGAAAATTTGGCAACATTGAATTGTAGTTACGTTTTTTCTTGCAAGGTGAACGGCGATTTGATTCATCAACTTGAATTTTGGTCTTAATAACATGCGCGGAATGCAATCAATATATATTCAATAAATGTTCATTATTTGCATGACTTCTCCATTTTCAAGAGCCTATAAGTTATTTGTAGCAGTTAGGTACGTTTTTTCTCGTCCTCATTTTCCTTTCCTTTCTTTTCAACGTTTGTCTTTAAAATTTCAGATCTACTCCAATGAGTTAGAAGCTCAAAGTGAGTTCAATGGATTCAGAGAATGGCTGCTGCCATTCGACTTATATCGAGGGAAGAAAACTGGAGATGACTCGGAAGACGAAAATCGGATTGTTGGAACTTTCAAGGTAACTCCCTACAATGTCACGCTATAAGGAACGTTGTATGAACATTTAAAAGTTGCCTTTCCTCCAATAAAATGTTTATTTTTGAGGACTGTTATGATTATTTTCCCTTGATATTTCCAGGAACTTTGGGTGAAATTGTGAACAAAATTATCCGAAAAATTGGAAGACAAATATTCATAATCTTATCACGAAATGAAAAAAAACACTAAGAAGTGGCCCGAACTGTATGTAACAAGGTGGAGAAATGGTGCTGGGTTCACACCGTTTTGTGGGGAAAACAAAGCCAAGAGGTGCCAAAAATTATAACGGTTCGACTTTAACAGAATTGCTCCGGATGTTACATGGAGATAAATTTTATTAACGTGGGATGTGATAATTGGCAAACCATGAGTCTTAAACGTTGCGCCTTAAAAAAAAGACCGTTCAACGAAATCTATGAAATCCATGATGAATTCAAGATTCTAATCATAAAAGCAGTTGGATTTTGATAGGTTGATTTTCAACAAAAAGAAAACAAAACACGCATTTATCCTGTAGATAAGTAACGAAATATGCATAAGTGGTAAAATGAGAGCATTTATAAAATTTTTAATGGCTCGCTCTGTTTGGATAATTTGAGCTGAAATCGGAATCCGTCGTTAATTTCAGGGTTCCATCAAAGTCTACAAGTGGCCACTACCGAAAGACATCGAGGATCACACGATTATGGGATTCGATCCTCAGTACGGGTTTTTCCAAGGGTTGCCATCCAACGACCCGATTCACGTTCTGGTCCGCGTCTACATCATCAAAGCCAACGATCTCCATCCGATGGATTTGAACGGGAAAGCGGACCCTTACATAGTCTTGCAATTGGGATCCAAAAAGATCAACGATAAAGACAATTACATATCAAAGCAGCTCAATCCTGTCTTCGGAAAGTAAGTTCGTCGATCACTGTAAGAATCTCGTTCTTTTTTTTAAAAAAAAAAGCCTGAGGGGACGTCCATAAATTACGTCACCCACCTAAGAGGAAGGTCTGGAGTTGAGTGACATGTAGATAGCAAAGGAGAGGCTGCTATAGGATTGCACGAATTTCCCCCTTTTCACCTTTTTGGAGATGAATATGATTGCGCGAATTTTTCTAATACTGAAAAGATAACTACAGGTAGATAACTACATCGCGGAAGACTGTTCATTTCCTCCTCTTATACGGGTATGTCTCTCTCCGATGGATAGGCCTTGCAGCACGAAACGGTCCAGAGAGCTTTCATAGACATTTAAAAAGTAAACTAAAGACCTGTGGCCACTACGTGGCCGCCAGTCGCTGAAAAAAAACTACACGTAGAAAATCATAGAGCAACCATGTTCAAATTTTTTGAGAGATGAATGGATTCAAAACCCGACGGGTGCACCCGAAAGAGAGCGTATATTTATCTTTGATTGCAGTGTTATGCACCACTTTTATGTTCAATTTTAAATACATGTTTTTAAAAAGCTACACAAAGTTTGTCTGAAAAGTTTCCACGAATTAATTTAAATGCTCCTAAATAAAAAATATCGAAAATTTCGACGCGATATTTTTGTTCGTTCTATTTTCTTTTCATGTAACCAAAATAAATTAAATATCATCCGAGTTTCTGAATCGTTACAATGAGGATATATATTTTTCCTTTAATTATGGTAAAAGCTGGAGCAGAAAGTCAAGCATGATAGCACGCAGTCCTACAGTATTCATACAGTCTTGTAGGCGCTAATATACGTTTCACGCCAACTGACCGACTGCACTGTGTTTGGCGCAATGCGAGAAGTATTCATGCAGTCTTGTAGGCGCGAATGTGCGCTTTACGCCGACCGCACTGTTTGGCGCAATGCATGAAGTATTCCTAAGGTTTTGCAGGCGCTAAATACTTTTAACGCCAGCCGCAATGTGTTTAGCGCGATTATTCGAATCCCCGTTAGAATGATCGCGGCATCGAATAATAGAGTTCAAAAGGCCCATGTTGTGTTTCGACGCCGTATGTGTATTCCAACGTTGCCTCGTTTCTCCCGATTAAAAGTTTTTTTCCGAGGAAAGTTGGGAAAGTGCTTTAAACTCACGGACATTATTCAATCTTTTCACTTCATTTATCATCAGAGGATAAGACATCGATGACTTGTCAACAAACTAACCTGAACTAGCTTTAACATAAAAATGCGTTTATTTTCCAACTGTTTCCTGTTTTGCCGAACTTCTACCTTAAATTAACTTCATTTTGAATTTGTGCATTCCTGTAGCAGATGTTAAGGTTTCTGGTGGTCAATTTTAAAAGGCTTGACTTTCTTTTTTAAGGTGTTTCGAAATTGAAGCAACTTTCCCTCAAGACTCAATGCTGACAATTCAAGTTTTGGACTGGGATCTGGTTGGTTCGGATGATCTGATCGGCGAAACACGAATTGATTTGGAGAATCGATTTTACAGTCGTCATAGAGCCACGTGTGGTCTTTCAAGGAAGTATGAAGAGTTAGTATCCGCACATCAGAATCTATCGCACCCTTTTCCTTCGTGTCCGTCAGTGGCGATTTTGCTAGTTGCACAAAAATCGACTCTTTGCGAGGCAGCTTGCCTCCCTAAAATCGATATTTTTAATGAATTTAAATAGAGGAAAATCAGTTTTTCCATCTTTCCAGAATCGCCCCTGGTGTCGGTGTGTATCGTTATATTTCCCCTTTCTTCTGTGCTACACATTTTTGTTGGAACTTTCACTCTTCTGTGGGTGCCAATAAAGCAAATTTTCGCAATAAAATATGACAAGTAACGCCAACATGTACCCATGCTATGACAAAACGGGATTCTACTACGAAAATGTAGATACAATTTTGAATTTTTCCCAATGGTGGCAAATTATATTATGTTTCCTATCCCATTTTTCCTGAAATTTTATGAGGTCTCCCTCATAAAAATTCGAAAGAGGGATTATTTTACTCGTTGATAAAAAATTAGCGAATGTTAGAAATGTCTATGAACTTTACATATGCTTCATACGTAAAAGATGTAGCATTATAGCTGTATTTTATCAATGAATAACTTGCATCATAATTTGATTGCGAAAATTGCTTTCTATAATTGGACGTATTTCTATCAAACGGGCCTAAGCGCCATATAGTCCAGGCAAATAAGCCATGAAAGGGGCTATAGCCTGCAAAAATCCCGGGTAGCAATGTTTTCATCGATTCCGATGTAATTTTTGACGCTGAATCCGAATTTCAACTTTGCGCCATTAAATTCGGACCGGAAAGTTGCCAAATTTGGCAAAAATGGCCTAAAATCGGCCTTTTTTCCGGATTATGGCCTGTAATTTGCCAAAAATTGATCTGACGTTAAAATTAGTTATTTTCAGAAATGAAGCTCGTTAAATTTCCTATAAATCAGTTCCTATACACTTTTTTGCTCAGGGCAAAATTAAGCGCGCTGGCGGGCTCCGAACTTTGTAAAATGTGCGAAAATTGCGCATACTGTAATGTGTTGGGTTATCCTTATTATTTACATCAATTCATTTCACTAAGTGTAAATTTTATCATCTGCACTTAATTTGTCCAGAAATTACTCGTCGGACGATTAAAACAGGAGACATCGGGCAAAAACCGCGAAAAACACAATTTTCGCTCATTTTCTAAAGTTCGGAGCCCGCCAGCGCGCTTGATTTTGCCCTGAGCAAAAAAGTGTATAGGAACTGATTTGTAGGAAATTTAACGAGCTTCATTTCTGAAAATAACTAATTTTATCGTCAGATCAATTTTTGGCAAGTTACAGGCCATAATCCGGAAAAAAGGCCGATTTTAGGCCATTTTTGCCAAATTTGGCAACTTTCCGGTCCGAATTTAATGGCGCAAAGTTAAAATTCGGGTTCAGCGTCAAAAATTACATAGGAATCGATGAAAACATTGCTACCCGGGATTTTTGCAAAAACCGCGAAAAAACGCGATTTTCGTTCATTTTTCGAAGTTCGGTGCCCGTCAGCGCGCTTAGTTTTGCCTTGAGCAAAAAACTGTATAGAAACTTTTTTATGGGAAATTTAACGAACTTTTTTTTAAAACAACCAAATTGTCGTCAGATCAATTTTGGACGAGTCACAGGCCTTAACCCGCAAAAAACCAAATTTTCGCTCATTTTTCAAAGTTTGGAGCCCGCCAGCGCGCTTGATTTTGCCCTGAGCAAAAAAGTGTATAGGAATTGATTTGTAGGAAATTTAACGAGCTTCATTTCTGAAAATAACTAATTTTATCGTCAGATCAATTTTTGGCAAGTTACAGGCCATAATCCGGAAAAAAGGCCCATTTTAGGCCATTTTTGCCAAATTTGGCAACTTTCCGGTCCGAATTTAATGGCGCAAAGTTGAAATTCGGATTCAGCGTCAAAAATTACAGAGGAATCGATGAAAACATTGCTACCCGGGATTTTTGCAGGCTCTTTTCCTTGTTTGCCTGGACTAATAGGGTGAGGAAGGTAGAGGGGGGCTTGGATTGGCGGCGGAATCGGGCGTCCGGCTTATTCCGTCCTGTACTCGCGATGCTTTTCCATGGCGCTTAGGTCCGTTTGACAAAACGCGCTATCCGGGATTCTAAATTCCTGAAGAAGGAACTCAAATTGGCGCTTAGTTCCGTTTGATAGAAATACGTCCAATTACATTTCTTATACTTAGAATCAAGGTGTATACAGACTACGGGAAGAAACTCTGACCATTCTATATGGTTTCTCGATCAAACTAACATTCAAGTCCTCATTTACCTACCACTGGTTGGACTGAATTTTGCGCTTGAGAAATAAAATGTTTGGTTTAGTTCCTGAAACAACGTACGTACCGTTAGTTTCCCTATGCACTCAAGTTGTATTTACGGACGAGCCGGAAATTGTATTTAGCTCCTAATTGCAAAATTTAGTCCAATTTATCTGCTTGCTCGTGTAAAACATGATACATTTTTTTTACAGCTTCATGTGTTTCAGAACCTTCTTCAAATGTCTCATGTTTAAATCTCACAGACATCATTTTTCAAAAACTTCGCTTCGATTGTCTTTAAATACTTTTTGACAATAGAAGACAGGGGAAATATTTATAATTTTCAAAAGATATTTAGTTTACACTAAAATTCTTGAACAAAATATAACTCCTTACTTTCCATGATTTCTCCACTTTCCTGTCCTGTAAATACCTTGAGACTTCAATGTGTTCTTTTTATTCTCCCCCCCCCCCCCCGATTCCTGCACTAACTCTGGCTCTCTTAAATGTCATTACTTAAGCTAATACAAATGAACAGACATGGTTGTTTTTTGTAGCAACATCATAAAAAATTAAATTGAAGGAACTAAAACTTAAATAAAGGAATTCTATGCAGGGAACTCGATTTTTGGACAGTTTTAGTGTCGATATTCGGCCACGAACGTCAGTCTACGTTACAGATAATGTGTCCATGTGTGTGTGGATATTTGAAGATACATCTAGGGCAATAAATCCGTACCTGTAGTTTTAGTAATGTTACCGAGACACATTTATATGCTGGATTACGTAACTTTGGAGGTTCCCAGTGGTGCAAAAACGATCATTTGGCCGAACGTCTTATACGCGACCGAATCCCTCAGAGGTAACGATAAAATGGACGTATTTCTGCCAAACGGAAGTATGTGCGTTAAGACGTGAGCCTTGAGACCCATAAGAATACATGCACAACAGGGCTCACGTCATAATGCACATAGTTCCGTTTGATAGAAATACGCCCAAATGACTCCCGGCGCGAAACATGTAAATTAGGAGGATCACGTTCCACTCTGTGTCTGTACTTTTTATTTTTATTTATTTATTTATTTATTTATTTTTGTAAAAATTATTATATTTTTGTTTCATTCTAGCTTTGGCTACAATCAGTGGAGGGATCCGATGAAACCGACTCAGATCCTTGGAAAGTTGTGCAAAGATGCGAAAATGGAGGTGCCAATATACAGCAATGGAAAAGTCAAAGTTGGAAAGCACACGTTTTGCTTGCAGCCAAGCAGCGAAACTTCATCAGATTGGTTCTTTGTCAAAGGTATGATCTTAAAGCTACTATTGTACGGAAGCAAAAGATTACTTAAACCATGTTTCTAAAAACGAATCATATTTTTATACACACACAAAATCTCACCCAAGATCTCACACAAAATACACCATTATCAATGGTGCGACACTATTGTCAAAGATATGATCTTAAAGCTACTATTGTATGGAGCAAAAAATTACTTAAACCATATTTCTAAAAAAAAATCGTATTTTTATAATGTGATCTCTTACAAAATACACTATTATCAATGTACTTGAACAGAATAATTAGTAAGGCAAACCCAATTTTATTGTATTTTACGTTTGATAGAGATAAATCATGCTGTCAGATGGGTTGCCGATATTATTTGTCTGGAAATTGACTAGTGATCCCTGTACGTACTGTACTGCACTACCATTTAAAGTCATGTACTTTCTCCCCTCAAACATTATTCTTATGAATAAAGTCCATCTTGTTTTCAGGCATTGAAGAACACATGGCTTTGGCTGTTTTGCACAATTGGCACGATTTTCCTAGAATTGGCTGTGAATTAGTACCTGAACACATAGAAACGCGTCCACTATACAATCCAGAAAAACTTGGTATAGAACAGGTAAAATTACTTTCATTCAGAGAGATATCTACTCTTTTTGCGGGGTGATATCCGATCTCGGATTTCGCACTGAATTTTTATCAATCCGGTTTCAAACAAACTTCGATCCTATCAAAGTGCAGAATGAATAGTTGAAGAACAATCAGTTTCTGTAAAAATCAGATATCAAATTATTACTCGTTTTAGAAATATTTCACATCGAAATGAAATATTTGCATCCAATTTAATTGTATGCATTAAGAACAAATACAATTTGATTTTATGCATGGATCCGTTTGAGACTAAACATACCATTTTCCTTTATTTCAATTACGAACTGCAGAGTTTTAAACTCTCTTCTAATTTTTTGTAGGGAAAGCTGGAGATGTGGGTAGATTTGTTTCCGATGGACATGCCTCTGCCTGGACCGCCCATAGACATATCACCAAGGAAACCAAAATCCTACGAGCTGCGGGTTATCATTTGGAACACCGATGAGGTTGTCCTCGAGGATGATGCCTTTTTTACCGGTGAAAAAATGTCTGACATTTACGTTAAAGGGTAAATACATCTCGCATCTGATTGTCTCTTCGTATTTATATTCCGAAGCATAATAAATTTTACTGTGATTCGGTAAAACTGAAGGATTGCTGTTCAGCTTTCCGTGCAGGTTTCCCCGCATTTTGATCGTTTGCTGTGATTTTGTCTGCATGGCAAACTTCCTGGATCATTTCAAGCAAACTTGGTTTCGACTGAACTAAAACAAACCCGCAACTCCGAAACTTCGAGTTCGTTCGCGCTGTTATAACTGCTCCTCTGTCAAAGACCGACGTGCTCCCTTTGTTGCGTTTGATCTACTCCTTCGACACAAAAACATAAAAAACCTCAACAATTAAATTTCAAAACTTCTGTACTTATCAGAAGCGTAGGAAGGGGGTCCAAGGGGGTCTGGCCCCCCCAGAATTGGAAATAGTATCATCTGCTCCCTCCCCCCCCCCAGAAATTCTGGATGGTGCAAAAACACCTTCTTTAACGGTAAGTCTCTGTCGCCGTGGCCCGTGAGAAGATGCCTATAAATAGAATAACCTGTTGAATGCAACAATTTCAAAGTATTTTAACCTTAAAATGCATAAAACTGGGTGATTTTTAGGCAGAAATTGAAGGAAGATTAGCGCCACAAGTGCCTCGAAATGCGCTCAAATAGAGTTAAAATTTCAAAAATTTCCCAGGGAAGGCCCCCCGGTGGAAAGGGGCCAGCCCCCCCCCCCCAGCAAAATGACCTAGCTACACCTATGATTAGTCTCATGCAGAGGGGATAGATAAGTGCAAAAAAGGTGCTTTTTTTTGGATGAGCCAGAACGTTTAGTTCCTTGGTGCAAAAGATATAATGCATTTATAAGGCTCACATCGCAGTCGTCTGTTTAATCTTATATGACTGAAATAAATGTTAGTTCTGCCTGAAAATATTTTGGAACCTGGCAAGTTTTAGTGAACGCTTAGTTAACTGTTAGTTTGTGAACGCCGGGAGAGCTTTCAAATACTGGCTATACTTCCCGCTTTATCGGGAGGGTAGTTTAGTTGCGTGACCCAACTGAACGCTTAGAACGCCTTCAAATCTGGCGATACATCCCGCTTTGCCGGGAGGTTGGTTTAGTTGCGTGACCCAACCGAACGCATAGAACGCCTTCAAATCTGGCGATACCTTCCGCTTTGCCGGGAGGTTAGTTTAGTTGCGTGACCCAACCGAACGCTTTGAACGCCTTCAAATCTGGCTATACTTCTCGTTTCTCCGGGAGGTTAGTTTAGTTGTATGACCTAACTGAACGCAACACATTGTTAGTTTACTAATTTTACTGCACGCAGCAAGCTGATACCATCAAAAGAAGCATTACAAACAGTATTTTCTTTTTCCTCTTTACCTTTTAATTTTTGCATTTTTCATGCGTCGCAAATAGAAAGTAAATATTTCGGCAATTAGTAAACATGTAGTATGTTAGTATGTATTCAGTATGTTAGTCAACCATGCCTAAAATATGCCTATAAATAGTATAACCTGTTGAATGCAACAATTTCAAAGTATTATAACCTTAAAATGCATAAAACTGGGTAATTTTTAGGCAGAAATTGAAGGAGGATTAGCGCCACAAGTGCCTCGAAATGCGCTCAAATAGAGTTAAAATTTCAAAAATTTTCCGGGGGAGGCCCCACGGGCAACCCATTGAGCTGGGGCATATTCCATACCCCTCAGACCCCTCAGCAAAATGACCTAGCTACGCCTATGGTTCTCATTTTTGTCGATGATTGCCTTCGTCCTTTACTTAAAATACAATTTGGAATATGCATCATTTACAAATAGCTTGTGAGATCAAACTCTGATGCCAGTAAAAATACCAACGCTTTGATGTTTCTCTCATCATTCTGTGATTTTGGAATTTCTGCTACTTGAAAGTTGGGATATTTGCGAGACACATTTTGAAGTATTTCAACGCACAATTTGTTCTCGAATATAGACCGTAAAAGTATGTAAGACTATATGTAGGTAAAATTTAAAAACTAAGTTCGCCTTCAAATCGGCATGTATACAATTTTACCTACCGGAAAGTCGGAATATTTGTATCGTGTATTTTGATATGTTAGAGTGGAGTAAAGTGAATTGAGGCGTTTGGATGCAGAAAAGGCATATCTTAGTTGCGGAGTTTCAGAATCTCCGCAGTGCTAATTTTTATTTTAGAGGACAAACTATTGGGTGAATTCTCTAAAATGCCACGTTTTTAGCACTGTGAAATCATTAAGAATATTCAATAAAAGTTACAACTAATTAAATAATGTTGCTTAAATCATGATAAATGAAACGTTAGCGGAGACTTTGAGACACTGCTACCAATAAATTCCCTTTCTCAACTCAGCGCTTCAATTATTACGGAGACAAAGCGGGGGTGAAATGTGCTGGACTACCTCCTTCCACGTTGAAAATAATGCTAGACACTTGTTTAGTGAATGTAATCTACTTTTGTCATTGCATTGTGAAATTTATTCGCCAAATTAGGCCCATCCGACCAATCCAGACTTATATTCTCAGAAATACACCAGTATACGGTCGTGATTCCTGGGTAACTCTCGCAGATAAAAGCTTCCTGCATCTAAGCTCCGTCTCTTAGGTCATTACTCTCCACGCTAATGTCTCGTATTGATTTTAGGTGGCTAAAAGGACCAGAGGACTGCCAATCGACGGACATTCACTATCGCTCCCTGACTGGAGAGGGGAATTTTAACTGGAGATTCATCTTCCCATTTGATTACCTTGTAGCGGAGGAAAAAATTGTGATATCGAAGAAAGAGTCCCTTTTCTCCTGGGACGAGAGTGAAAGTAAAATCCCCGTCAGGTTGGAGCTACAAGTTTGGGATGCTGATCATTTCTCGGCAGATGATTTCTTAGGTTTGGAGCTCTCTTTCACTTAATTGGGCGTATTTCTATCAAACGGAACTAAGTGCATCATGACGTGAGCCCTGTTATGCACGTACTCTTATGTGTCTCAGGGCTCATGTCTTAATGCACATAGTTCCGTTTGATATAGAAATACGTCCAATTCATGAATAATGTTGGATGACTCGCGGACCGTGACAAGACTTACGTTTAAAACAATTAAAACAGCTGGTAACAAGGGTTGTTTTAACACAACTGGCCAATACGTTTTGGCTGGAAGCACCTTCTTCAGTTGGATAAGAAATATAAAACCATTTTTAAAAAAATGTAAAACTTAGTACTAGGTTGTGCCTTTCCAGACGAGGTGATTGAAGTGTTACCCGCTGTTTGAATTTTTTTTTTAAATGTTTTACTTATTTCTGTGTCTTTTTTGATACCTACGTTCGAGATTTTTCACTCAATAAATTTGTCTATTAACGTCCGATTTAAATTAAGTCTGCAAGGTGAAAAATATTCGTAGGAAGAAGAAAGTATTTGTTTTATTAATTTAAAGCATGTCATGTTTGAATCTGTTGAAAAAGAGACACAGAGACTTAGACATTAACATTTCAAAATCCGAAATTGGCAAAAAATAAGTAGCTCTGCTGACCATACTGCTGGTGGACTGAGTATGTATCGTTTTTCCCGTGGCCCGTGAACAGTCACAAGTGCCAATATATACCTACGTGGATCACATTTTGCAATAAGGAACCACTATATCCGGCCCATGTTAGAAACAACATGTATGTCATTGGTTTCCCTGTGCAGGTATGTGCTTTTCTGAGAGCGATGGAGATAGTGGTTCTTGATTGCAAAATTTAATCAATTTGTAAGAAAACATATGAATCCATATTATGTAATAGATTATAATGTAGATTTTTCAGATAGAATTCAATGCAAAATTTAAGGGCTTGTCAAAAGGTTTGAACAAATGTGCCTTTTTTAAGAGAAGGTATGTGGCAACGTATGAATGCCAACACGTAGGTACATTCTAGAATGGTAGCATGTAAAGATATTACTCATCGCAGCATTCATTGAGCGATGTTTAAAAATACATTATAACACTGAGATGGTATTACTTAATTATTTTACGAGAATTTCTCTTACGTTATTGTTTGATTAATCTACTCACACAGATATTACGGATCTTTCGTTATTTTCTAGTCTTCGTTAATCGTGATACTTTCGTTCCCTCGTAGGTGCCATTACACTGGATTTGAACCGCTTCCCACGTGGTGCAAAATCGAGCAAACTATGCACTCTTTCCATGTTGCAAGACAGTTCTGTGCCGATGATAAATATTTTTAAGCAGAAAAGAGTGAAAGGATGGTGGCCTTTTTATGTAAAAAAGGAGAATGAGGAGATGGAATTGACGGTAAGTCATTCTTTTGGAGGAATTTTTTTCTTTCCCAAATTGCTTTCCGCCGTACATTAATTTAAAGGTTTATTATTTCCTCTCACTTGCGAGAAAATTGTTTTTTTGTAAGTCTTCTTCCCAAAATGCAATGAAATCCCCCTCAACAGCTTTCTATATTTCATCGATTTTATCGAACCGTATGTGGACCTATGACGGACTTTTGTAGTTCTTTTTTCTAACTTGAGATGCGCTTATAAAAATAAGGCCACATAAGATACTTGGAAACTTTTATTTCAATAATTGCCGAATTTCGATGTTTGTAAAGTCATACTTGAAGCAATTAACAACGCTGTAGTTCAATTGATCCGCAGCAGTCAGTAAGATCACTTGATATATAATAATATACGAGTGCTGATTATTGAAATTGATAGATCTACAAATCTTTAGACAAAGAAGACAAAGGGAATATGGAAGAATCCTATTAGTGGAGGAGGGTGGTTGCAATGGACTAGCTAACGGCAACACACTAGAGACCCTATAGTTAGTCCATCATTCACCCCCTTAGTCCATAAGAACCACCCATTTCAATCAATATGGCCGCTCCATACTCCCTATGTCCTCTTAGTCTAAAATTTTGTCTATCAATTTCAGCAACCAGCTCACTGGAAAGATCTGTAGGCCTGTTCTTCGTCAATCGTCATAAACTGAGGCTCTTTAATAGTCACTGAAAAATGTATTATTTTCCGTAACACAACATAATATTGACTAGTTAGATTCCGATTCCTAACTGAAGCGAACATTATATAAGAGCTGAGGTATCGTACTTAGTTACTTACTCATAATATCATAGAATTTGCCAAGGCTAAGTTACTTAATTTCAAACTCGTTACTCCTGAAAAATTTATGAACGCATACTCGTTAGTAGTGTGAAAATGGGGAGGTGACGTCCCACGAGACATCCTTATGGGAGTTTACTGTATGAATGGACCACTAGACAAGGTACGAATTTAAGCGATCTGATCCATCTTTCTTAACCAGAATTTCACGTAGAAAAAGATTCACACAACGAAAATTACTGAAATCAACTCCTAACGAAGATATTAACGTTTTTATTTCACATTGGTTACGAGGAATTTGAACTGCCCGCTCACAAGAAACTCAAAGCTCTACGTGAGTCAAATCGCCCACTACAACGGTTTTATCAAGCTCCTCAATCGAGCAATGTTCATTTTCCACCATGTGTTGTTCAAACTATTAGCAATTTGCTATAACTGAGCCAAAGCGTCAAGATTGAGGTTGCTAGATTTTTATATCGCAGAGACTGTCATGATAACGTTTAGCGCGCGATGTGAATCACGTAGAGCATTGAATTTTCATGAGCGGGTGGTTTGAATTCAAGCATCAAGAATCAATAAATATCTTCGTAAGGAGTTGATTTCGGTAATTTTTGTTGTGCGCAACGTATTCTACGTAAAATTTTGGCTGAGAAACATGTATCAGAATGCTGAATTTCATACCCTGTCTAGTGGTCCATTCAAACTCGCCGAAATTCTCCCGCCAAACCTCCGTGTATCTCTTGAGACACGATCATCAGAGTTTACTGTAGGAATTAAAATTCACGTATTTTGAGACATCCTTGTGGGAGATTACTGTAGGAACTCAAATACGCCGATCCCCTCCACATCACACAACACAATCGATGATGTTCCCATGTCCCTCCAAATTATTCCGCCACCGTCAATGAGACTAACATCTCGTAAAAATCAAGCACGGTAAATACCCAATAGCGTAATCAATAAGTAATAAAACAATTGCAGAAAGGAAACGGAGGAAAAGTAGCATTTTCTATAGCAAAGGGCCTCCCCGTGATTCGGGTAAAACGTCTGAGGTGTGCTCAACAGCTCAAGGATGTCTCATAGAACGTCGGCCTCCCCATTTTTATACTACTCTCGTTTCCTCCAAGGCGAAAGAGAAGAAAGACAGACTCTCTTTCAATAAATATATTTTGTGTTCGGTATATTGGTAAAAATATTATTTTACTCTCTCCTCCTTTATTTCAATCGACTTTTTAATGGAAGTAAACTTGGTTTGAATTATAGGGTAAAGTGGAGGCAGAGCTACACCTCCTAACACAAGAAGAGGCCGAGAAGAACCCTGCTGGTCAGGGTAGAAGTGAACCAGACCCGCTGGATAAACCAAAGTGAGATTCCATTATTCTTACTCTTGGATTCCTTCTTTTTTCACAAAATAATAGTGTTACAGACATACACATCGTTACCTTCCGGCCGAAGTATTACAAGCGCCATTCGACGTTCAAACGTTTCCGCTGCTATTATATGCATTTTTTTTTTACAACAGAGAACACCGAGAAAAAAGATTGGTAGAATTTACCATTCCTTGACGCTGTATTTTACAGAGCGTGAATTCGAAGTTGATTCTGCCAGAGGAATGGTTACATGTACCAGTATATAATAACGTTTACCTTTCTTCTGGCAGAATTAACTCTGAATTGACGCTGTGTGAAACACAGCGTGAAGGAATGATATTTTCTACCAATCTTTTTTCTCGGTGAAATCGTTCGACGAATAAGCTGTCCGAAAATGTCACTGAATTTTCTTTGTGCTGTCAATAAAATTTAGTGAACTTTATTCAAGCAGATGTAACCGACAATTTTTTTGTAAAAATATAAAATGGCTGCGGAAATTTTTAAACGTCACAGTGCGCTTGTGATACTTCGGCCGGGAGGTGACGATGTATCGTGCATGTCGCTTTTTAGAACACCATGACACTTTACAAGTTTAGTTACTCCATTCTTTTTCTTTCTTTCAATTTGATTAAATACCCAAGGCGCCCTATTTTGTGCATCGACAATATACGAATGCAATGAGTGACTCGTTCTGTTATCACAAACAGAAACACTTGAAAGTGCTCCGTTTCTTTAAGTGGCTAGGTCTGAACGCATTATTCATGTTCTCTACATGGATGTCCGTGTTGCATACACAAAAATTGAAGGCGCTCCGCTTCATTTCAATGTCTCGGTCTGGATACAACTATTCGTGTTCTCGGGATGTCCGTGTTGCATACACACAAATTGAAGGCGCTCTGCCTTCTTCAGGAACAACGTATGCCTGCGGTCTTTAGTTCTCAGGAGTTAAACGTTGTATTTACAAGCGTGTTCACCATGAAATCCTCGGAGTTCAGATGAGCCGTACTGCCATGCTAAGGAAAAACGCCGTATGAGCCTTCGGACCTTGCCAAGTTTCCTCCGACAAAAATTGGATTTGCTGAGAAAAATTGTGAATTTTATTTTCCAAAATTTTCAGAAAATTTTGTACGTAATTTAATCTAAAATATCTGAGAATTTTAAGGCAAAGTATGAATAAATGTTGTCAAAAACACATTTTTTATCAAGGGAAATTTGGCAACTCTCAAATGTTCATACGGCGTTCTTCCTTAGTACGGCAGCGTAATGCTTCACGGCAGCATTGCCAAATGGTTCAAATATTCCACCAAAAAAATTTCCACGAAGGTATCGTAAAATTCAATCCCGCAAATCACTTTACCGATTTCCGCAATTCGCATAATTTTGCAACGCTGTTTTGATGCATAACGGCTCATCTGAACTCCGAGGATGCGATTTCATGGAACAACGATTGTAAATACAACGCAGAAAACTCCTCGAGTTATCTTGGTTTTAAAATTCCCCGACTTTTCTGATGTTTTGAACATAAAACTCCTCGACTTTTCCCTGGTTTTTCAGTGTTTTTGTTGGCATGGTTTCCGATCAAAATTCTATTCCCAAACAATTCTAAGAGCAAAGTTTCTTGAAAATGAAGAAATGTTATATTTGGGATCGAGGAAAAAATTCCGCAGCAAAATTCTCCATATCTTCCCAATTTATCAGGTTGGACAAAATTCCTTGAGAAAACACCTGACTGCCACCGTCGCCCATCGAACCACAGCCCTTCGGAAATCAAACACCATCGCTTTCTGCTTCAATCCCAACTCTTCACTCTCTCTTTCGCAGTGTCTACTAAAACAGGCAGGCCCAAAATTAGTACTTTTACAGTACTTTTTCAGTACATTCCGAAGAAATTTAGTACCCCCTCAACAGTAAAATTCAGTACTTTTCCAGCACCTCCATTTGACGAAATTCGATGAAATTCAAAAAATTGAATTCTTCGCTCGAATTGCGACAAAAATGACTCACATTCTTGGGTGCATTTTTTGTGAAAGCCCTGTCAACACTAACAAAAGTTCGGTTCCGTAAACCCATCCCTGTTTGGACAAGGCCCTCTATTAATAAAAAACAAACGAAAAAATTATGAAAGAACAAACATAAATGTGGTTAAAAGTTTTAACTTCCACCGCCGCGCCGACCGCACTGCGTTAGCGCAATGCGTGAAGTATTCATGCAGTCTTGCAGGCGCTATGCGTTTCCAGCCGACTGCTGAGCTGACCGCGGTGTGTTTGACGCAATGCGTGAAGTATTCATGCAGTCTTGTAGGCGCTATGCGTTTCATGCTGACCGCCGCGCCGCTCCGTTCCAGGTCAAATTGCGTGTTTGGTTTCTCTCTTAATTAAAGGTGTTGAACTAATTGAAGGTGTTGTCTCTTGTATCACCGAGAGACGACAAAATTAGAAATTACTGTACTTTTACTTTGAGGAAATGAGAGATTTTGTCGTCTTTTCTCGTTTGTAATTTATTTTCTGAATCCGATTTTTTCCTCTCTTTTTTTGATACCTACATTCAAAAATTTGCCGCCCCCTACATTTTGCCGCCATGGGCCGCGGCCCATGTGGCCATCCCCTGAATCCGGCCCTGCTCTACTACATTCGAATTGGAGTTTTTAAACTGTGACGTTACCAAAGAGAGCAGAAAGAAGTAAGGCAAAGCGCACAATAACTATACTAGAAGCTCTTACAGCATTAGGTACAGAAAAAAGTATGCACTAAAAGAGTCCTCTGCTACCACCAAAATTACTTTGACTTTTCTCTCTTTCTCTAATCTCTCAATAAATTAAAATTTTCTGTTTCAGTCGACCAGATGCGTCGTTCATGTGGCTCCTGAACCCATTAAAGTCCATCCGCTACATTGTGTGGCACAACTACAAATGGAAAATTTTGAAAGCTTTAATTTTTCTCGCCTTATTTTTTATGATTTTCCTCTTTATTTATGCCGTGCCTGGTTATTCTGTAAAATTGTTATTAGGAGCCTGAATAATCTCCAATATCCATATATTTTAATGTATTCACCTAGGTACTTATTTTGACCTCCTCCTAGATTTTAAAGTAAAGGAGAGGTCATTACAGTGTCAATTTGGCTCCGTGACCGTTGGTCCGCAAATAAATGGTTGTGGTCCCAATAGGGACAACCGGTAGGATCTTTTCAATGAACAAGGTTGTGGAAAACCCTCGCTTCGCCTGAAAGCTTCAAAAGCCCTGCTCTCTACCACTTTCAGGTGCCACTCACAGGCTACTTTTGGACTAAGTGCACGCGTCTCCGTCAGGCCTACTTATCAATTTTTTGCTCTTCTCATTTCTATCTTTTTTATGATGATGTTAACCTGTAGCCACCCAGGTAAATTCAGAAAAATGGAGACTTTTACTGTATCAATGGTCCCAGGAGGATTTTGTTCAGAAAATATAAATATAAAAAGATAATATTTAAAAAAAAATCAACAGAGCTAAGAAAATTTAAACACATTTGAAAAAACTGAATTACGCTTCACCTTCCAGAATATCATCCTGACTGTGCTTTATTAAATTCATAAGTGAAGACATATCTGTTTCGTTTCATAAATAGTCCTTGTATCGGAGCTATTTCTCTCATTTTTCCATTACATTAATTGTGCATATTCTGCGCACAGCAAGTGAAAGAGTTTATCTTTGAGAGGCTAAATAAAGATCAAAAGTGTAGAAGAATTCAAAACGAGGAGCAAATGCTATTTTTTGGCATGAGTTTGTACAGAAAAGTAATCTTACACCCTCTGACTAAGTTTACTCTAAATCTATTCCATAGTGATGCTATGTGCGCTGCGTCTTGAAATATTCTGTAAATAAATTCATTTTCTCTGTAAATTGAAAACTGTAAATTTCAATATCTGTAAATATTGACCCAGGTTTATTAAGGCACTAGCATTGGAAGTTTGGGTACAAGAACCTGCATTAGTTTTTGTGTAATTTTAAAGCGACAACCCCAAAGCATGTTTTCTTATAGGCAGTCACCTGCCATAAATAATATACCTACTCTACCTATGAAATCCATTAAATTGTATGCTATATGTTTAGGAATATCAAGTCGCATCGAAAACAAGATTGAGAAAAGCTGGGCTGAAAAGTGAATTTTACAGCCTTTTTTCATGTGTTTTCAAATGGACGTGTGGGACCATTGCTATGTAAGTGGGGGCACAGCGCCGGCATGCTGCAACCATTTGGAGCAATTTGATTATTTTTGTCTCTTATCTTCCAAGCCTGCGAGGAAGCAAAAAACTCGTCGATCACCAATAAGATGTTACAGCATGTCTACTAGATATTGCTCGTAAAAATGCTGAAAAATTCACTTCTCAGCCCTGCGATTTTTCAGATTGGCATAAAGAAAACCCGATTCAAAAAGCTCATTACGTCCAAGAAACCATAAGGGGCATCATATCAAGTAATATTAAAAAAACTAGCACGGAATTTCTTCCTGTAAAAGGCTCAGTCCTTTCCAGATTAACATGTAGCTGTACGCCCTCGGTGGACGTAAAAATGAAGTTAAATATGAACTTGAAAATTATTTTTTGAGACATTACAGAAATATTGAAAAGAGAATTTCCAGTCAAACACTTAGAACTTGATTTTTCCACCAAAGTTGAAAAAAACTGCGCTTCTGCTAAGGTTTGTCCTCTGCATTGAAGTATTTCTTCCTCTGGATAGTTAAAAGTAATGGTCGTGATCCTGAAACACCCTCTCACACACATTTAAATAAAGAAGGATCAGAAGCGGACGTTTGGATTCTCCCTAATTTTCTTCGCTTTCATATTGGTTACCAAGACTTGGCTCGCTTTATTTTCCTTTTGAAATTTTTTCTAAACACTGTTTCTGATATTCTTCACTTGGCCTGGCCAGTTTGTTGTAGTGTTCAGTCACATGCTCTCACATTTTTTGACTCCACAACTTGGAATAGAAGCTAAGAGTAATCACTTTTGCACCAAGAACATTGGGAATTGTATGCATGCTTTCAATGTTTGTTCAAAAAATAAAGAATTCATAACGACTTCATAAAAAAAAATTTATTCACTCCTTTCCTTCAGTTACAAGGAGTTTAAATTCATAATCCTTGAATGAATAGTTCATGCCCTTAATATAAGGAGATAAGTAAACAATGTAAGGCTGTATAAAAAGTATGAATGACTGTCATACATGTAAAATTTAGAGCAACTTGCAAGAAAAAAGTTCACATTCGCTTTCTTCTTTTTTCAAACATGAGGGTTATTGGAGGCAATATTTAGAAAGATGGATAACATTAAGGAGTTGAAAATATACATAATAGTAAATGAATCTGAAGTATAAATCATTTACCACTTTTATTCTATTAAAAGTTATTCGACTATACAAAAAATTGAAACGATTTCTGAAATAGCATTTCATGAGCTAGAATTATTGACACTTTCTGAAGGAGATATACACAACAATTCTAAGGCATGAATAATATTTAAGAGTTCCACTTCTTTATCTACAAGATCTCTATATTGTTGATTCCACAGACCATAATGGATGTCAAATATTATTTTCAATTCTTTAAGCGTATCTTGCGTTTTAACCACCTTCTCTCTGAAACAAAATGATGAAAGAAAGGTAAAAAACTGTGACTGGTCAAATATTTTTATGACACAACTAAACGAAGTTTACACTTTCGAAATCGGTAACTTCTAAATATTTTTCCTATAGTTTATTTGGGGGAGGGGGGGGGGGCGGCTAATAAATTCTAAATGGTGATCTTAGCATCATTTTAAAGCTTACATCACACTTGAGAAAAATAATTGTGAAAAACCTGTGGAAGGGAGCTGTAGTCCCTCCATTTAAAACTTCATAACTTTATCAATTTTTATTATCAAATAAAAAGATTTTGCTTTCAATTGATGAGGAATTAAGTAAACTTTAAAATGAGACCATGATCAGGTCAATATTTATCTTAATTCCAGGATCACAGCAACAGCTCTACAACTTGTAGGTCACCTTATACCTTCGTTTGTTTAAATTCTGGTTTTTTTTTTAAAGAATAAGTGTATGATTAATAACTTTGTATCATAAATGAACAAAACCTGAGAAGATTACCAAGCCTAATTAATAAACGACTCTCACTCTCTGTTTCCCCAATTTTTCCTAACCTTTTTGAATATAATTACATGAAAGAGAGAAATAAAAGCTACTCACTTGAACTGGGAGTGGGTTCCGTTGAGTTTCTGTAAGTCACAAATCATGATATCTGATAGTTTCTGCAATTCATGACCATACTCAATGCTGATAGGACCAAACTGCTCTTTCACCGCTGGCAACGTTTTCTCTAAGTAGAGAATACTTTTATCACAATCGCCTGGAATTAAAATTGCATGGAGGTTGAATAATTTCAGAAGTTTAAGGTATTTATAAGTGTGTAAAATTGGAAAAATATTATTGAATTGTTTGTCGCTTAGCGAACAAGAATATATAATGAGTAGTAAGACCCTTGCAATAAGCGAAGGGCATGTTACTGCAGTTCTTTGTGGTGTAGATGAAATGCAAAGCGACTAGATACTAATCCTGTATCATGTTGGTTGGACTTTTTGAAAAATAGAAAAAGACTAGAGGATTTTCACTGTGATGAATGGATGAAAATTTCCTCATCCACATAGCAAAATTTTTTCAAGAGGCTTGTTTTAAAAACGTACAATCACTAATCAACACCACATTTTCAGAATGCAAACTTTCTTACAAAACAGGAGAGTTAGACCATTATCAAAACTCAGGTTTACAAAGGACTAGTCTGTTCTAACAATATCTTAACTCACAAATTATTAGTATTATTTTTTTCTCTTAAAAGTGGTGAAAGGTTGTATGAATATAAAAAAAAAAAAAAAAAAAAAAAAAAAAACGCTTGGCTTGACTTTGATGATTACTTTACTTTTCGGTATTAAATTTTAGGCAGTTGCCAACATTGTGAGCCTTTAATACATATTTTAGAGGCACTTAAACTCTCTATACCTACATTAAGATCATCAGTGAACAAATAGTAACTTCCCAAGGGAGTCTGGGTTAGTAAGAACATTTAGTTGGACAACTAATTACTCAAGATTAGTTATCGAGCGCCATATTAACACCAAATGTGAGTCTCATATAGCAGTTGATTGTAGACTCAAGCTATCAATCGCTACAGATTATGGAAGAATTTTGATTTAAAAAAAAATGGGAAAACAAATCCCTGATAAGTAACTATCAGCACTATTTTTATAGGTTTTTTGATGGAGAATTTAAAAAAAAGTTCTGCTGTGAATCAAAAGTTGTTCGGATGTACTGCAGATTTTTTATTTTTTTAAAAAAAAATAGAATGTCACCATTCTTTTTTGCAAAAAAAGGTTACAAAATTGTAGATAGGAGAGTTCTATGGAGAGAGACTACAGATACAACCATGGATACTTTAAGTACAGATTCTAGATGTGCCTTTGATCGAAGTTGCCAGGCTATAACCAAATTCTTAGTTTTTACTTTTTATTTTTGGGTTCCACATCATAGTTGGCACATTTAAGTGTCTATCATCACATTGCGGGAAAATCATTATGGAAGAGTGGCAATTCAAGCTTCAATCATGTGTTATGAAAAAAAGTTCAAATTACCTAGGATAGCGTAACAGCGAGAGATTTGATCAGCACACTCCGTGATATCTCGATGATACTTGTAATGGCACCGGATGTACAAAGAGTAGGCATCGAGGAGACACTCTAATGCTAGTTTAATAGATGTTTCTGTTTCTTTATGTTTCATGAATTCACATCCTAAAAAAAATAAAAAAAAACAATGACCGATTAAAACACTATTTCTCAGTTTTTTTTTTTTTTTTTTTTTTTTTTTTTTTTTTTTTTTAGAAAAACTAGATTTCTTCTGGGAGTTTGGAGCAAGAAAATTGGTTACTCTTTTCTTTTTCTATTGTAAACTGTACTATCTAGTTCTTTGGCGCTGAGTCAATACAGACCATCAATTTATAGGTTCAATACTTAATTTAAGAGGAGAAATAGGAAGTTTTCCTTGTTTTTAAAAACGATTCCTTCATTATTCCAAGTACTTTTCGAGCTATAAAAATTTCAATCTCAAGTCCTCGTCCAAGGCATCATGTTGAAATTTCAATGATGGAAACAAATATTTTATTACTTTGTGCGAGATCCTTACCTTTTTGATACAAGCCCTCAGCCTTGATGTGCAACTGATGGAGCTTAGTGCAGTTTTGCTCGCTCTGGCAGCTGGTGCATTTTCCAATTAGAGAATCGTTGGTAGGGATTGAGAGCCCACCACACTTGATACACAAGTAGCCTTCATAAAATCTGTCTAAAAATGAAACTTCTTCCGTGTCGGTCTGACATGGTTCACAGTTGCATTCAAAATGGTATTGGTCCAACAATAGCTCCTTCCGATATTTGACATGCATCCTCCGAAAATCAGGCCCTGAAGAGCACCACAAAAGAGAAAAATCAGATGTAATTTTAACTTGAACCTTATAACAACACCTCAATGGTCACCAAATCATTTATTTTGGATGTAAAGATTACAATGATCATTTTTGTAATGGATGTACGACAATCATATTGCTGATAAAACTAAGAAACTTTCACACAGAGTTGCGATTTTTCATGAAAAAGAAAATCTTTAAATTTCACGTAAAATATTTCATTGAATTTTAGAAATTTATGAAAGATATTGAAAAATGCTTTTCGAGATTGAAATATAAAATTGAGGTTTTGTTTTTTGGTGTTTTTAAGAGTTAAGCTTTTGAAAATATGTTTAATATTTTCCACAGCTTTGTGAAATTTCTTGAAATATTTCACAGAGATTTCCAATCTCTGATAATTTTCATTCCACTCGGGTAACCCTCCTTCCACGTGATCTGTTTGTTCTGTTCTATTTTATTGAAGGTGATCATAAATGACATAATGATCCACTAGACAAGACCTGAACCACAGGAAAAGGCACAGGTTTGCTCTTCAAAGCCTTACATAGAAAACAATTCACACATCAGGAATTTCCGGAATCAACTCTTAAACATTTATAGCCTTCAGCCATAGATATTTCAAATGCAAGTATTCATAAATTTAAGAAGTTCAAAAATGTATGAGCTAATGAGCATAAAATTCTTACCATAACAATTGTAAACTTCTGAGCCTTTTGGTATGTCTTTTATAGCTTTCACAATGAGAATGTCTTTGAAAAAACTGAAAAATCACAAAAACAAACATTGAAAATACAATCATTACGACCATGAAGCAAACTTGTTTTTTCAGAGATCATTAACCATACAAAGTCAGTATTTGTAGGAACACCAACATTCACGAGCGCTGCAAAAAATTAATAATGTCAAAAAGTAAAAAAAGAGTTAAAAAAATATGATTGTTACAAGCTGTTTCGAACTGTTATGGCAAACAACATACGTCTTCACATTGGTGTTTTTTTTATATATTTTTCACTACATATACTTCAACCCCTCTTTTGATTCATGTTTCCACTTATATAATAAATCAAATTCAAGAGAATAAAAAATGTCCTAACACATACCTGTTGCTGATGTTTGGATCGCAAGAATGGTTCATCATACTAGCCGAAGGGAAAATGGCTGTGGCTATTCTGACAGGTTTTTGAATTGTAACAGCAGGATTTTCTTCATCTGTACAAACACTATGGATGGCAGTTATTGCATGCCCATTACAAATTAACTGGACAACATGTCTCAAAAGAAGATATCCAACTTTGGCAAAGTCTTTCTCCCTTGTGTAATTAGTGGTTTGAAAGAAATCAGTTTTCTTCTCGAGATAAATCAGGAGAAGAGTGGCAATCTGGAAACACAATTTGAAATGAGAAACATTAAATGTTATTGTTTGCATTGAGAGTATAAATGGAAATACAGGAGAGCAGGTGCACCAACTTCACCGGGTGCAATGGGTAGGACTTGGATCTAAGACGCAAGTTTTGGCCAAACACAGCGACTAAAAATCTGATATACTTAGTTCTAGTAGTTATAAGGCCTGAAAGCCCCTCTAACCCCTAACTTTAACCTTAAGTTGAAAGTCCCTATTTGAATATTCTAGAAAAGTGTGAATGAACCTTAAAAACTTTATGAAAAGCTTAAAAAAATAAGCTAGTTAGAAAAGCGCATATTTTTTAAAAAAAATTGAGTAATTCTGACACTGATGGAGAAGGATAATCTTCAAAAATCACCAACATTAACTTCTAAATCAAAATCCTGAAGGAGCGCCTTGAGAGCTTAATGATAAAACACTTTGGTATTGATACTCTACATTTGCTAGGAGAAAAGTTTTTGGAAAAATATGATGAGAATATAATTATCATTTAAGATAGCAAATTCATTTCTGTCCACCAAAACTGTTTCACTACCTAATGACAATTTAAGGAACTTACCAGGGTGTATTGAAACATGTCGCGGTCAGAAAATTTGTCAAAATGCGTCACCAAATCATTGACCCGTTTGTATTTCTCCTCATTTTCAGTTGACGAATCGGAGGACGCTTTCAATAAAACTCGAATGGCAAGGTGAGCGATACCGATAGAGTGAAAAATTCTCAGTGCTTTGGCACATTCCCACTTGTGGTAACTTTCCCAAGCTTCCTTTTGACACTCAAGTGAACAGAAAATAGCGTAAGTGCAATGCCAACACCTGTAAATGAAAAAATTTGATGGGCTGTTTGATACCTGGTATAAAAAGATTTCCAACAAAACTACGAAAAAATGTCAGTTGAGAGACAACACAGTTTTGTTTTTAGGCATGATCTTGAATTTATGGAGTCGAATTATGAATACTAAGAGTTTATACACACATAAATGAAAACTCAAAAAAAGTAAGAATTTTTAAAGACTCAGCATTAAAAAAGAAAAAAAAGCGGATCAGGTGGATAATGAATTTAAAATTGGATTGAGCTATGATACTCAGAGTTAGATAAAGGAGAAACAGAGAATCTGATCTTACGGTATGGGTACAGTTAGCATGTCACAACAATTGTGACAATGTGACTCGTAATGTTCTTGCAGTAACACATGGGAGTACGGCTTCTCCACAAATAGGACATCACCCATTTTAATGTCTTTTTCAGCAATGACATGTTTCCCTTTCTCTTCAGAATGCCTAGAAAAATAAAATTCCTTATTAAAATGAGATGGAATGTAATCCAAGCATAGGAATTGTCCATTAATCTAGTTAAATACAGTGGCACAAGTTTCGCTTCCCTTGCCTTTGTAGCAAGAGCAGACACTTACGATGGCTCATAGATTTATTCTGAGAGGTTCATTTCAGGGTTTCAGAGGTTTATTGGAAGGTGAGAGGAGATTTAAGAAATAACTCCAACTTATGAAATAATAGGTTTTTTTCTTCATTTACATACTTAGCAAAATGAAATTTTGAGGTTTTGTGCTGTAAATACATTATCAATAAAATGATAACATCACACAATCTTTTGACCCACATACAACAGACATAAACATGTTCCTGCTTTTTGACTTGAACTTATTTTGTTGAAGAAAACTTAGAAAATCAGTTCCTTTTTTTTATTGTGATACAGTAGAAGAAAAAATGTTTTGGAAAATGTCCTGGATGTTAACCATTTTTCCAAACATCAGAAAAGTCTTGAAACAACAGAAATTTATCAAGGTGGGTGACAAAGTATTTTTCACAAGATAATCAACTCAAAATGGACGAAGTCAAGAGTTTTGTGAACAAACCGAAAAACTACAGAAAAAGTAAACAGCGGAAGCAGGCATTCATAATTCAGAAAAAAAAGACTCAATCAGCTCTGATTTAAGCTAATTTGATGGAATGCTGAGGACAACTTACTGCAGAGACAGAAGATCTGAAGCAGAGGGGAAAGTGGGATGAACTGCGGAGGCGACATACGGCACAAGATCAGCAACACAGCGAGGCACAAGTTTCTCGGGTTTCATTGATGTAATTTTACTCAAGGACTCTGCCGTTTTAATACCAGTTTCTATATCTTGTATTAATTTTGCTGAAAATATTAAAGCAGAAAGATTTTTTTACAACGCATTGTTTAAGCAAAAAAAAGAGAAAAAAGAAAAGATAGTTTACCAGGTTACAAGATGTACATTTTTGACAACTATACTTATCGGAGTAATTATCACTGAAGAGACTTCAGCAGACAATCAACACTTTTTCAGCAACACAGCAACATTAAAACATAATACCTAGAGCAAAAGTCAGTGATCAGCTCACGTTGACTGATGTTAAGGTGAATCTAGGGTTCGATTAGGGATAATTCAAGATTACCAGTCACCATTGAGAATTTTTCTTTCCTTCCCAATTACTGAAATAATATTCCTTAAACTACTAAAAGCAGATCCACAAGATATAGATTATTTTTTTCTTGATTTTTTGAGCCAAAAATATTGGCAATTAGAATTACAAGCGCAGAGAAAGTACGGCTGAAACTTTTAGCTAAGCCGTGGTGGCCGAGCGCGCAACTGAATCTCTCATGTTCTGTCTCTCTCTTTCCCATTGCTGCAATGGGAATTACTTTCCACCATAGTTAAGACTTTATTTTTGGGAATTTTGAGAAGATTTTTCTACTAAGTGTTTCTCAAGTATGTTGCTATATCCCCTGGATCTCCAATCCTGAATAAATATTATGGTTTTAATTATTTTGGCAGATATATACTGCTATTCTGAGCAGTGCAACGTAGTGGCCAAATCACAAAGTTCCAAACCTAGATTCTCCTCTATTTAAACTTTTCTGGCAGGGTATAGAGCCCTCCTGTGTCAAGGTTTACTCAAGATTCTTTTTCTGTAAAGACCCCATTAAAACGTGTACAACTCTACAAATGGTACTGTAAAAGCACATATTGATTGCTATTTAATAAACAAAAGATGTAAAGGATAGAACTATGCTCATTCTTGACCCAGTAATATTTAAACTTGCAATTTGGTCAGAAATTTTAAATTTAGAAAAACCATCGAAACATTTTATACCTAAGCAGAAAAAAAAGAAAAAAAAAGAAAAGAAACGAAAAAAAAAAAGAAGAATTGTAACTCCAATTCTCACTTGATTTGTAATTCTACTCTGTTTATACAATGTTTAAACCTAGATAAACCTGCCAGTTTTTAGGAGCAGCAGCATTTTGTTTCACAGTTCAATCTTTTAAACATTTTTTGGATAGTCATTTACTCAAGTATTGAAAAATAAAGTGATACTAATGATGAGTTTAGGATTCCTAGGATTTCTACATCAAGTACTTAGGAATCTTTAGTAGCAGTTATAGAGGTTGAATTCTGACAAATTACCTTTTCTGTCACTTGGTATATGGCTCAAGGCATCAATGTCTTTTTTTGTAGCCTCTAGGACATCTATGGCTTCTGAATACTTCTTAAGGTAGAATAAACATTTTCCTTTCCGCATCATAAGTTTATAGGCAAGTTTCACCGGATATCCATTTTCCAATGCTAAGTTTATATCGGTTAAACATTTCTGAAATGAAAAACAAGAACACTTAAAAACTGAAAATACCGAGTGCAAATAAATTCAATCAATTCAATTAACTAAAACATCTGGAGTTTCTAGTAATTGAAGAAAGTTGTTAAAAATATAGAAGCTTTTTTCAACTCTTTAGAAACAGTAACCCAGAATTACAGCAAAAAATCCCAATATTTGACAATGGAGAATGCATTGGGATAAAATGCATTCTAGTATGGCTGCATAATAAGCTACGTAAGTTGCAGTCTTTAATGGCACACAAGAATATAGTTATATGTGTGTGCAATCAGTAGATCACTACAGAAGCAGACTGGGCCTAGAATGACCAGGAATATCCGTACATCAGTACTCAGACCAGCCTTTAATCTTTGTTTCTTTTGGCAATGTGAAAGCCGCACACAGGTCCAAAGTTACTCTAAATATTGGCAGGCAGATTTTTTCCTAATGTTCCCACTTGCTTGCCTATTCTTGGGTCACAGGTGTGAAATAGTCATTTCCAGGAAAACAGCTTTGATAATTAAGTTAGGTACAGTGAAATTCACGTCACTCATCACATTCATTGAATAATAAGTATTACCTGGTACATGATTTCTGGGAACCCAACAAAAGGTACCTATTTCTTTCAAAAATTTGGTAAAACTTTAAAGATGTAAACAAGGATCAATTACCTCATAGTTCTTCAGTTCAAACAGGATGGCAGAGCGATTGCCCAAAGCAATTGAGAGTTCTTCACTTTTGTGCGGAGCTTCAATAATGCTTTTATTGTAAAGTCGCAAGGCCTCAAGAAACAAGAACTTGTGAGATTTTGTGAAATTAGTGTTTCCCTGCATTCTGCTTTCTCTTGACTTTTGTCGGGATTTAGAACCTGCGCCATCTTCCAGGAGGTGCTGCATCCATTCTTCGAGACATTTCCTGCAAAATGATATAGTTAAAATTATTGTCACACTAATATCGCAGTATATTAACACCTGCCGCACTTTCCTGTAAGTACCTACCCTATACGTTAAACAACACTTTCAAATTACATGGTGCTAGCTCAGGCAAGCACCCCTCCCCCCTAGCATTCAATTTTTAAAGCTGAAAACTATGGTAAATTAGTCGCTAAAGTTAATATACTTCAGAAAATTACATGAGGGTATGTTGTAACTGAGGAGAGGAAAAAAAATTGCTATTTCTCCAGATTACATACTCAGTTTGTCAGACATTATTTAGAACAGCATAAACCATTTTCTCTGAACTTAACCTTCTACTGAACTCACCTGATAGAAAACCTTTGAAATATCAACAGAAACACCCCCTCCCCTTTTCTGCAGTTGAGGTGTTACAAGATTTCCAGGCGACCCCTACATATTTCTACCCTCATGCCCACTGCTTTTATGATAAATATTGGTTCGTCTGATCTGACTAATTCATACACCACATGAAAGCGATGCAGCTCATTTATAAAAGAGATATTTCATTCTTTTACAAGAATAAGAGCTGAGTCAAGCAGCATTGGCTAATCACAAGAGGTAATCTACAGATTGGGTGACCCATTTTCTATGATGGACACATCAAAAGACTAACATGAGCATGTATCTGATACTTTAAGACTCTGTCATCTCCAATGTAAATCAAAAGTTTAGTGGAGAATGTATTTTACAGATGCAGCTTGGATAAATCGGTAAATAGGACAAGGCAATAGATGCTTCCAACGAAAGACCCATTTTTCCACCTTGATCCGGAACCATCACCAAAGTCGCTTCAGCCAAGAAGAGGAGAAAGGATGAATTTATCTCCAACAGACAGTTAAATAATAGGAAATGCTCACCTGACATAATCAATCTGGTAACAGGCAAAAACTTTTTGATCAGGTTCTGTTCGCCCGATGTCATCAAGTGATCCATCCATTCCCGCTTTGGCCGTGAGGGTGTCGGAGAGACTTGCCCAACTAATAAGCTTAGCCGGCTTCATGGCTAAGCTCAGTTGAATAAAACAGTCAAAATTGATAAAAATTCAACGTAAAAATATTAAAATATGTAAAAAACAGGTTGCGAAAGAGGGGAAATGACAGTCATGCCATATTAGTGTCTTCCATGAGAATTGCGGCAAAAACAAACAAAATAACCGTGAAAGAAGGACTATCGCGGTGACTTTATTTCAGGTTACATACGTCGTAGTCAAAGGTATGAAATTCAACACGTTTCAGGAATAAAAAATACGGGGAAGGGTGTAACATCAAAGCAATTGTATGGTGTTTACACATAAGTAACCCGCACGAAACACACACAACACACCGACGTTGGAAGATCACCCTAACCTCTAAATAAGTGATGTCCTTTTTTCATGATTCCATCGTTCCATCGTTCATCGTTCCCGGATGAAGATGGCTTCGGCTCGGAACGCTTGGAGCCCCATCGAAAAGGACCGATTTAAAATAGCCCGGGAAATGAAGATAGTAAGGCCCGGGAGGAATTCGCTCCGGGATCATTTTTTAATATAAGATTAATTTACAAGTTTGGAGACCGCTGTTTCTTTGTATTAGAAGAAAACGCAGACAGTGGATCATGATTAATAGCAGATAAGGGGGCCGGGAAGATGT